TTGGCCATCTTGAATTCTAGCGGCCATTTTTAATGGTTTTTTTCTGAATGATTTTCTTGTTATTGATTAAAGGCAGAATCAGATTGATTTAACAACAGTTTCAGTTTTACAATATTTAGGCTCAAATCATTGCTTGTCACAGTTTGTAGTGTGATCTCATCCACATTGTTTCTTTTTAGTCCATGTTTGACTCATCCACTCTCTAATCAATGTTAATTTGTCATACAGTAAACCTTGTTGAATTCAAACTAATCTGGGAATGCCCAAAAGTGTTCAGATTGGCAGGTTCTTCACATTTCAAAATTTAGTACATTAAAAATGGGATTGAAAAAGTGTTCACATTTAGAGGTGTTCAAATGAGAGATACATCTTTACTTTTTATATGTCATTCAGTGTAATTTTATTGTTCATTAGGTTTTCTTTGCTATATTTTCACTTGATATATGACAGTTTGAGGGTTTCAATAGTCAACATTATTCCAATACTTGAGAAGTTCAGGTTTCTCTTCCTTTCACCATTTCACACGGAAAAATATTCAAAGCACTTTCAAATCCTACACTTGAGCATTGTTAAAGGTTAATTTCAATATGTTAATTTGAATGTATTTCCTGAACTCTATGTATACAGTTGAGAGTCCAAGACGTGACAGAGTCATTATTATGGTGAATACACATCCATTAGCTGAAAGCAATCTGTTGTTTGAGTAAAATAGCAAATATCAATTTCAAATATAAACTATTGAAAGCTTGGGACAGTTAAACAAACATCTACTGGAGGTTGCCTATACAGTATACATGTTGGTATGGAGAAATCAAATCAACTCTTTGTTCAAATGTGTTTTATTAATATGACCACTATTGTCTGTACATATGTGAGCCATAATGAGGTGGGTTGGTCTGAAATAGCTCAATCTGATTGGCTCATAAATAATTGTATTGATTTCGGTATTCAACCGCAATACTGTCTGCATAGTAAGGTCGGAATGACGCAATACTAGTATGAGTCTACCACATATATGGGTGTTGCCCAAACTCTAGATTCTGATTGGCTGACACGCAAGGACAAACCCATCCTACATGTGTTGTGACATGTTGACTTAAATGAAATTCCTGTTTCAAAGAAAGAAAAAAATATTAGAAGTTCATACAGCACTTGCCTTCCTAATGAAAATGTACAAAAGGAAAACCTAAAGGAAACTTAGCTAGTAACATAACATTGACTGCTTCACTGAACGAACATCTAAAATACTCATATCTTATTTACAAAATAAAATAATAATCAATATTTATTGTTTATACGAGAGAGAGATAATAATTACATAAACAAAAACAATATATCTTGTTCAAGTGAAAGTAAAGTGGAGTTTAAGTACATTGTATATTCACTGGATTTGATAGATCATACAAAACAGTACATTAGATAACATGAAGCCGCCCTCACAGGAGCAGAACAAAGACACAATGGGATTTGACTCATCTTATGTAAGATTATTTTCTTGTATTTCATCAATTACAAGGGCTATGAACATTCATGTTTATACCCTTTCCCTCATTCTCAAGCTTTAGATAAAGGTAAGAGTTGGTCTGGTAGCTCGAAATAACTGTAAGGGATTGATTTTGAAATTGTACTTGTTGGCTCTACTAAAGGTTTTATTTTGGAATGATAGATGCAGTAATGTCATCATGTGAATGTTTAGTAATATATGGTTCATTTTTATGAATATTTATGAGTCAGAACAAATATGGTATCATTATCATAATAAATGGATCAGTTTGGTAGGGAAGCCCTCCATATTATATCTGTCCATCCATCAGTCATTCCATCATTCTCTCATGCAATTTGTTTGCTACACTGCTACTGTTTTTGAGTATCATTTTCTGGTAATCTAACAACATTCTCCAAACACAAGCCTCCAGAACTCTTCTTTCAAGGAAGGAACGTCATGGATGATGTTGAGAGCATTGCGTTCGGAGGATGATCTAATAAATGATTGTTAACTAATACTGTATATATGAAATTGTCTTCTTTCCTGTAATACTTGGTGCTTCTGAACTGAATCAAGTTAACCAGGATGTGAGTTTACTTGGCCTTATTGCTTCTAGGTATTTGTTAATTTTATTTGCTTATACTTTTGATTTGTTTCTAACAAAAATATTCATCAGTTTGCTGTCTTACATACATCACTGTGACAGCCTCTGTATCGTCAAACTTTCATAAGCATCAACTGGGGAAACAGATAGGGTGAGAGGGAGGGGGTGCATATTTTTGTTCAGGGTAAAAGCTTATCTTTTTGTTTTATTGTTGAATGCCCATATTGACAATGATGATTGGTTTTAAGGGAGGGGATAAATCCATTTTACAGTAGAGTCCATGATAAGCTATAATCATGCGCTCTCCTGAAAACCTGTCCTCATATTTATATATTATACATGTAGCTTGTCTTGTTCTCTGGTTGTAACATAAACATGTCTAGAAACCAGTCCAGCAGGATGTCACAAGATATCTGGATAAGACAGAAATCAATTTAGTGATTTCTAATATCAACTCTAATGATATCACTTCTTCCTTTATTGATATATCTGTAGACATTGGCAGCATTCCTCTTAAATTATGATTCTGTTCAACCAGAATCAATATCATCCGAGGCCTGGTATGTTGCAATATTGTAATAGCCCTCCTTCTTTGATTTGATATACATGGTCACATTAACCCTTGGCTCAGTTCCAAACGCCTTCCTTCCATGAAGAATATTTCCCAGAAGTCATAAAAACATTTGCCATATATTTTGTTTGAAATCATTAGATTAAGGTGGGCAGAGAAGGAAACATAATGACACGTGTTATTGATCACCTATATCAAAATAAGGATTCATGAGAATAACAAAGACATGTTTATAACAATACGGTGCATTACATGCCCTGCCTGCATGCTCTACCATGCAATATCAAAGTGACCATCTATTTTGTCTTAATTACAGCACAATATCTACATTTTAGGATCGAATATGATACGATTACATCAGGGGGGAATCCAACTGGATATTTTGCAAGAAATATAACAGAAATTTACTTCAGGAATCCCTAATTTACAATCCCCATGTTATTTAATTCTGTTACATAACTTGGCAGATAATCCAGAGAAGTTCTGATTGACCATCTCTGTTTTCAATAGTCTGCCAGCTATCTAGATGATCTGGCAGGCTTACTTATACTAGTATATATAATTGCACCAACTGGATAAATGATGTGATGGTATAATTGTAGATGTTTGTTTGATACACATTGATTTTTATATCCGTTGGTAATTATTCCTATCATATCCTGTTTTCTATTGTAATAGTGTAAATACAGTATTTAAATGGAGGAAATGAAAAGAATCAAAGATTATGTACAATGATATGTTATAACCGTTTCAAATGTAGGCAGTGGATGGCAGATTACTTTCTCAGCCTCATCCCCCTATTTCCCGAACATGATAGAAAAGTGGTTATGGGGGCCGGGGGGGGGGGGGGGGGGGGGGGGGGTAATGGTGAGTATATAGTACACACATTTTTGTGCAAAATGTACTTAAAACACTTGAACCCATCCAGTTACAAAAAATATAATTGTTTGTCATGGGATATTATTACAGACTACACTAAACAACTGATATTTGAATTAAATTGTCTACTTCCCTTAGACGTGCAGGTCCTCACTAGTAAAAAACGAATAAATAAACAAATGTCCTGTTTATGTGGAAGTAGACTAAAGTACCTCATTTACCCAACGTACAATCAAACATACTATCAATCGAGTACTATGGAGGGTAACTGGTCAACTCGTACCCAAGACAACTCGTACCCAAGACAACTCGTACCCAAGACAACTCGTACCCAAGTATATATTTTGTTTTGAATCAAGCATTGGACTGGGAATGTGAATAGATATACATATTATAATTGTAACATACTGTTCAGAATAGTTTAAAGTTTGAAGAAAAATTTTCGGAAGAAATTGATTTAATTTTATGACATTTTGAGCTGAGTGTCAATTTATATTGACTATTATTTTATATTAGTCACAGATTCAGGATGTTCAAGTGAAGAGACATATGTTTATAATCATTTTTCAAAATATTATATGTTTATGAGTGTTTGGAACAAGTGTCAGATCTAATGTTGTAATCATATTTATTTATATATATATTTGACAAAAAAATGTTGAGAACAAGCGCTTCAACCACTTCTTTTATTTAATAAAAAAATGCTTTACTGATCCATTGAGAAAAAATGTCGTCTAAATTCAAAAAAATATTGAGGCTTATTTGATTCACCTTATAACATGAAAGCATTACAAACTCAATTTCTTCCCTAATATGCACCCATAATACTGAAAATAAGCTTGGGTACAAGTTGTCTTGGGTACGAGTTGTCTTGGGTACGAGTTGTCTTGGGTACGAGTCGACTAGGAAGCCTATGGAGTACTATTAGGTTATTGTGACTTGTGTATTAATATGATTAACTATAATCCATTCTGATCCTTTGATAAATATAGATACTTATCATAACAAACATTTTGGGAATTAGAGCTCCCAATAAACATTGGCGATTTGTTTGCCAGTGGGAACTTTGGATGTGTTATATCCTTTCATCTAGACTAGGGGAAGCAGGACTTATCCTAGTAAGCTGGGATTACCCATTATGGTATAATATACATTTTGTAGCATCATACAAGAATTAAGATACCATAGCCTTTAGAGTCTCCAGAAGGATAGTACATGGTAAATCTATAATTAACCCAATGTATAATATTATATATGTTTTGTGGGGTTGTTTGTATTCCATATTTGGTTCTGAATGCGTCATCATAATTATGTATAATACCATTCATTGTTAAATGATACATTTACAAATGATATCATACAGCTAATTTTTTTAATTTTGTATTTGGAGTTACATGTACTCTCATTTTCAGCCTCAAAGCAGTTTCTTTTAGTTAATGTTATGATTGTTGTATTTTCAGGTGGAGATGCACCCTGTCAATGACATAAACAATCCCAATGATAAACTACTTAATCGTCAACGTCACGCTAGTCGTGCTTCAACATGCAGTCAGAGAAGTCAAAGAAGTTTGAAACGTCTCGATAGTGATGTAGAACACACTATAGATCCTGACCAGAAGGGTGTCAGTAAGCGTAAAATCAGCGTCAGTAGGCCGGAGTATCATGAACATCTCAAAGGCATTATGGGACAGGTGCGTCATTTGAACTGATATACCATGGCTGGTATTTTTTTGAACATGAGACAGGGCATTTTTAACAATTCATTGTTTAATAGGGTTTATTATATTTCAGTGTACTATTATGCATAATGGATCAAAATGACCCCCTTTTTCTCAAACACCCAGACAGTATAGGTGAAAACAACTATTATGTATTTAATTCTAAAACAACAGAAATCTTAGGTAGAAATATTGAATAACATTCTAACTGAAAACATATTACTTCAGGGTATCTTGACATTAAGCTTGTAATAAACAGGGCTAATGTTTCTTCATGTTGAAACTTCCTTCAACTCATATCAGTCGCAATGCAGCCACAGCAAATGTATCAACTCTAAGTGAACCCCATTTATTTATGAAGGCCAATGGCCTTTGTGCTGTGGATGTTCGCTAGACCAACCTAGCAGGTTTAACAATAAACAAAACTCATTTTTCTTTTTTAAATGTCGTGTCTGACAGTTTCCTTTGAAAGTTATGAAATATATGTACAGTTATGTTATGTGTATGATAATTTAAACTACGTGTTATTGTAACTCATACAATGCATTTACTCAATATTTCGGATGTGACAGATTTTATCAAGTTAATAACTATCATTTTGTGTCATATGTTCATACGTAAGAGTGTAAGCTATTAATTTTTTATTTACTATCATTATTAAAAATTACCCTGAATAGTGGATTCTATACAAACATGACATGACACAGTACAGTATCAGGCCGTAGCCAGGGGGGTTTGAGACAAAAAATTATTTCAAAATCATGCAGTTTTTCATGATTCTAAGCATTTTTCATGTGATTTTGGGCCAAATTTGTCTATGTGAACCCCCTGGAATTTTTTTGAAAAGTAAACCCCCTTGGCAAAAACTGGCTACTGGCTTGAGTATATTTGATATTAATTTATTACTCATATTGAGTTTCAAAAAAGTTGAGGGTAAAAGTTTAATTGACAACAATCAGTTTTCATTGATGATTGAGGTAGATATGAATCTTGGTGCATGTGTTGTAGACATGAAAATAGTTCATCATAACAACTCTCCATGAATTGCTGTTGTTTTTTTCGTCAATCCGTTCATTTCATTTGAAGTTTGGAGGGAAGGGGGCAAACTCTGTCTGCCTTTTTTCACAAATATTTCATGTATGTTTCTACAGGAAAAGATGTTTTTCTGCCTGCTGGGGGCTTTCAGAGTTTCAGTGCCAGGGGGAGGGGGGGGGGAGTCAATCTGACACCAGTGATTAGGCTGCCAGGTAGCATTCTAGTCTAACAAAGTCCCCCCCCCTTCACATTCTCCAGTCAGGGCAGTTTTGCTCTGGAAATTGGGAGAATCAGTGGATGGTTTCCATTCCATGTTTGTCTTATTAGATATTTGAACATAACTTCTTTTGTATAAGCATGGGCATTTCAACTGTTGAAAGCCCATATATGGTATAAGTTACTGAAAAAAGCTTTTAGACAAGGTTGTCTTTTTCCCAAGTCTTTCTACCTCCCGAAGAACACACCCGACAATCACTTAAAACGAATATCGGAGCGGTATGATTTCTTCCCTAAGTTACACACAGGCCTGTCAACTGTCCCGCAATTTGCGTATTTGTCACGCATTTGCTGAAGAATTTGAAGTCATGCCAGTTATTTTTGCGTGACAGAAAATGTCACGCAAATACCCATTTTACCTGGTAATTGTCAAGCAAAAATATTTCTGTAGAAAAATTTCTAAAAAAGATTGTCTATACTACAGCAAAAATACGAACGGCGGAAAAAAAATGTACGCATTTCGTTTGGACTTTTCACGTGAATTACGTATATGTCATGCATTCTGTTCGAAATGTTTGAAACGCGAGCGTAGCGAGCGCGAAAAATTTGAGGTGTTCAAAATTTGGCAAGATGTAATAAAATTTAAACCAAGGTGTTCAAAATTTGGCAAGATGTAATAAAATTTAAACCAAGGTGTTCAAAATTTGGATCAAGGTGTTCAGATTTGGACCAAGGTGTCCATATTTTGAGGGGAGGTGTTCAACATTTCCAAGTCACTCATGTTAGGTGTTCCCAAGTTGACAGGCCTGTACACATTGGGCAAGGTTAGAAAAACACAAAAAGAAGAACACACTTAAACAAAATATCAATCAGTAAAGCTTACAATGAAAACAAATGTTATACTAATATAGCATCCCATATTTTCAATATGCAACTCTGCAGATGAAGCCAGTAGGAATTGAGGTATATAATTATTCATAATGGCTCATATATAATCTCCACCCGAATGCAACCATAATGCCCTGGATATCTGAAGAATTCATATTTGCTGTTCAGATCCATCATGATAAATCAAGCCATCATCCTCTGGTGAAACAAAAAGATGCTATGATTATCAGAATGGTTCAGATCATGATGACCCCACTTTGTTTCCAATTACATCATATATCATTTAATAAAAGTAATTCTGATTCTACAGGGTGTCAAATAAATATGTTCTCCTCCCTCAACTTAAACATCCACAAAATGTTACATACAGTTGGGGACAAAAATAAATGACAGGTCGATTTTCGATCACCATTTCCTAATTATGGTGGTCTGAAAGCCCATAATTTCCAATATTGTCTAGATACATATCCCTTAAAATTTGTATATTTTACATTTTGTATAATCTCATCCACTGATCTATGGCCTCTTGTAAATTCTCTTATTTTTAACATGGGAAATTCTCACTTCAGCAAATCCACCTGTCATTTATTTATGTCCCCAACTGTACCTGTTTTGTCTGTATGATATTTGAATTGTTCTTTAGCACATTAAAACTAGGCTTCATGTAGCAACTCTACAATAGGTTTCAAATGACTAGCTCAGCTTTGTGCACTTTTATGCATAAAAGTTCATAGTCTTGAAATCAAGGGGGAGAACATATTTATTTGACACCCTGAATATATCCAAAATGCCTATGACTTATAACGATCTACTGTAACAAGCTTGAAAAATACTCACATAGTAAGTGAATCAATTGGCTTTTTAAAAGCAAGTCAAGAAATACATATGAGATATCCTTTTTAATTTATAATCATACCGCTCATAATTTTCGAAGTTTCCTCAAGTTTTAGAAAACAACATTTCTTATCTATTTAAGTCTATTGATGGTGTAAGTCATAGATCGCTTTGAATTAGGATCAGAATTACAGAGACTGTCAATTTTAAGTCGTTTGAAGAGACTTGTCACTTTTTGAGTTGCTTAAAAAATTATTTGAAGTCAGCATCGAGACCAGTATACATGTCATCCAAACACTTTTGCATGATCAGCAGAGCAGATTGACCTTTTCTCTAGTTCCAAGCCATTATTTATTAATTTGATTTGACATTTTAATGTTTTTTTGTGAGGCATACACATCCAAGGTATAATTTCAAAGGGTTGATTGTTCTTTAATTATGTGACAAAAATAATAACTAGAACCTTTTTCCACAAAATAAAAACTTTGGATGGATATGGTTTAAAAAAGATTTGAGATTGGTCTTTAAAAAGAGGAGAAACATTTACACCCTACCCCTCCCCCCATTTAAAGGGTAGGGGTAGGGGTAGGGTTAAATTAGAAATTAGAAAAATGAAATGCATAATATATGGGGTCCAAAAATATAGAATTTGTTTGTAAACATATGATAGAAAATAAAATATTACCTAAGAGTATTTTACTCAATTGTGAAATTTTAGGTTTTCCAAGATGTCATGGTCTTCCCTTTGTACATGCACTTTATTTAAAGCTTGAAACACCCATTTGTTTATTTTGCAAGTTGGATATTATTTCTAATTTTGGCATGTATTAATGTACTTCATACTGTGCAAATTAAATACAATGTCAATGGCTTACCACGCACTACACCCCCCATAATTACTATGTGTAGAAAGTGTAGAGTTACATAAGTAAATCCATAGGTGATCCAATCTTTAAGATATTTGCCAAAGTTTTCATTGAAAACCATGCTACATGTATGTATGTATGTAACATGTAATTATATTAGTGAAATCTTTAATGAGGAGGCGACCCAGAAATAAAACCCATACTACTATATTTTTTCAAAAATAATTAAATCTATTTGGAATAAATGCAGTGGTCAATTGCCAACTTTTTGGATAGACTTACTAAAAAACTAAGAAATTGACATTATGAACATGGCATAAGTGATTTGCTGAAATATCATATACTGTATATTCAATCAAATAATTACAGGAAGGTTGTTGTTTAATATTGTTTCATAATTTACATATTCTCTTTATTTTACAGGGTCTGTCCATCAACCTTGTCTTCACAGCATTCATCATTTGTTTTGGGTCTTCATTCATCATCGGCTACAACATAGGTGTCCTCAATCAGCCTGCCAATGTAAGTACATTTACACTATACCTAAATGTGTCATACCTACATTCGAGTGCCATCAAGGAAAATGGTATAAAATATTTTCGCATGGAAAAATCTTGTCCAGTCAGTAGACTGTGTATTATTCTCACCGAGTTTTAGATATTTTTAGATAACCTTGCATTCTCAATGGTTGAAATTCAGTTCAATGGCAAAGTAACTTTGTATAATGACAAGGGTGTCGATCGAATCTAAATCAAGAGGCAAGATGTTGTTGTTTGCCTCATCACCCATAAGGCATTGATGACGTTAGATCAAGCAAAATCAACTTCTGGATCATCTGTATTAGACATCACGTTACTGTCAGCTATGCAAATAATTAGCTATAGCTAGTTTATTGTTTGTGCATCTTGAGATTAAAGAAAATTTAATTAGATGTTGTTGAAATGTTTAGAACACCCTCTGTTTTATTCTTGTTCTAGTTGATCCAAGATTTCTATAACTACACATACAATTTTGACCGGCGTCCCGATGCAAACTATGGTGTTAATGGCACAGATAAACTTATATCACAGACAGCTCTGACAACGCTATGGAGTCTTTCCACGACATTCTTCCTCCTTGGAGGCATGCTGGGAAATATCTGTGTTGGATTTGTGGCAGAAAAGATTGGAAGGTAAGGGATGTTGGTGACTGATATATGCCATTTAGTCTGATACATGTACACGTATATGAAGACTTGTTTTTGTAGGTTCGCATGTTGAGAATGTTTATGTAATTTTCATGATTATCATAATAACCAATAAGTCATGAAATGGTTTTTACATTTTCATGTGAATATTCACCTGTCGTGGTAGAAATTAAGTTAGCATGCTAAAGGTTAAGTTCAACAACAACATAATTTTATTAAATGTCGAAATGACAATTCTACATTTTGTGTTTCAATATTTTCAACCTCATGATGCTAACATGATTGAGAATAACGTTTAGCTACTTGTTGGATCTTGGGTAATGGGTATGATCCACGAGATGCTTCCATTTATCATTTTAACAATTTGTGCACTATAGTTCTTATATTACACTTCATTTCATATTAAGGTCTATTTTATAGAACTTATCCTAATTTTGTTTTCAGGAAATGGTCGATCATGGTGGCCCACATATTTGCATTTATTGGAAGTGCCATAATGACCCCAACCCTTGCGGCTAGATCTCCAGAGATGGTCATGATTGGACGGTTCTTCATTGGGATCAATTGTGGTGAGTCTTCAGTTTTAAAAGTGCCTCTTGGAGGTACAGTAAATCCTGTCTAAGTGGAACATCTTTGGTACATAAAAGTGTTCCACTTGTGAGGTGTTCCACTTAAACAGGTTTATTTAATATCAAGTCAGTTGGTCTTGAAACTCTGAAAAGTGTTCCACTAATAGAGGTGTTCCACTTCTAGAGGTGTTCCACCTCACAGGTTTCACTATACTACATTTCTGTATGAGTTAATCCAATATTGGATAATTGTGAATCCAACATGAATTTGGCATGTATATAATGGATTCATCTGGTCCTACAATACTTTGGTCAGTCACTGCAAAACATTTCGTAACCTAGATAAACAGAAAGGGATAAACACATGGAAATCCTAGAATGCCATATAGCATTTCCCATACAAAAGAAAAAAAGCTTTACATATACATGTACTATACATCTTTGTGGAACTGTTACTTTTGAAGTACTGGCAAAGAAGCAGCATCAATCTATTTTTAAAATACAGTTTAGCAACTATTCAATCTATTTTGTCGCCATCTATTTATACAAAAATAAAATATTTACATGCTGTACAATATATGTATTTGTACTTTGTAGGATTGTCAATGGGTCTTGCACCTATGTTTCTGTCTGAGATCACACCAGTTAATCTGAGAGGAGCCTTTGGGACGTGTCATCAGCTTGCTATCACTATTGGAATATTCCTCTCTTCTGTATTTGGTCTAGAACAACTGTTAGGTGAGTTCAAAATATTGTTCATGTTGGTCCATCATTTAGTATAAGTGAAGGAATTTTTCATGTTATTTTGGGGGACTACTATGTACATCAGGGGAACAGAATCCGGTTTCAGCAATTAATTAGATTGATTGAACATACACAAGTATGTATTTGGGACAAAATTGATACATGTAATAATTGCTTAATAAACCATCAACAAATCCCATGTTTGAGCAGTAATTTTGATATCCTTTGCCAGAGCTTGATTCATTTTTCTACATTCTAAGTTAGGGATAGTTTTTTGATCTTCACATATACAGGGTGTCAAATACCTATGTTCTCCCCCTTAGCTTTAACATCCACAATATGTTGCATAATGTCTTAGTCTGCATGATATCTGAATTGTTCTTTGGCACATTAAAACTAGACTTCATGGAACGACTCTTCATTTTACACCCTGTACATCCAAGCATAATAATAAGTTCAATGCACTGACATTAAAACTCCATAAATGCTACATTTGAGATCAATAAGATCAAAATTTCATAACCATCTGTAACATTTAGAAGGTAGATCAGGCTAGCCAATGAGGATTCATGTTAATTCTGTTTTTCTGTTTTCATTTATCCATGTTTTGATTTTGTTTCAGGAACGGTCAACAGGTGGCCCTATCTCCTCCTTTTGAACATTGTCCCAGCATTTGTCTCATTGGTCATTCTACCTTTCCTCCCAGAGAGCCCCAGATATCTGTTCCTTGCCAAGCGTCAGCAAGATCTAGCAAAGAAATGTAAGTTCATAAAAACGCTTGTATACAGGTTGTCTCAAAAAATGTACCCAAAAGTATATTGACAGCACAGATAAACCGATCAATATTTTCAGACATATTTTGCATTGCAAGTTTTCTCTCCAGTACAGGGTATTTAGTTCAGCCTTGCCTTTTGATACACCCTGTATAATCACGAAACAAATTGATTTTATTGTTACTATTATACTCGACCTTGGTATGCATTAATATGCAAGATCTTGTTTTGACTAAAGATAAACTTTATTTTAAATTCGTAAAATATATATTTTATTTAGTCTTGCTATAAAAGACCCTGTACTCCCCCCCTTTATCCTTCTCTCTAGGGTCTTGTAACCACCAGTAAGTTGACACTGATATGAATTATTCATGCTAGATGGTTATCTGTTAACTAGTGTCGTCGCGATGTGCCATAATCGTACATCGGCAATTTTCAGTTGTAAACATCAATGCACATCGCGATGTACATCGAGAAAAAGTTAGAGAAAAGTGCACTGAAATACCGAACGCTAATGCACTAAAATACCGAACAGAACAAATTAATAAGAGTACCTGGTACATCCGGGAACTTCTAGTAACGGTGAAATGAAAGTAATTTTTTTAGATTAATGGTTCATTTCGACTAGCTAAAACAGTTTTAAAGCGAAAGAATATCAGAAAACATTGGAAAATGAAATAAGACATGAAAAAGGTAAGCGATGTTTTGTTTCAGACATCGATGCATCGCCAGAATCAGCTTTGGCGATGTATATCGCGATGTATCGATTAATCGCGACAGCACTACTGTTAACACCTTTTGATCAGCCAATCAGATTCTTTGTTGTTCTTAGAGCAGCACATGGCTATGTTAGTAAACAGTTGCCTCTTCACTGCCAAGAAAATAGTTCCTCATACTTGCACTTATATTTCCATGATTTTATCTTGTGTATAGAAATACTTTTCTAAACTTAAATCCTTCTCTAAACAAAGGTTAAAAAGCATAAAATAAAAAGTATTACTAACTAAAACTCACTACTAGAAAGCATGTCTGGTGTATTGATACATCAAATAGTTCCAACCTCATTAATAATTCATGATTTCCGGATCCATTTAGGAAGGTGGCAGCACCTGCATAAAATCAGTGGTTACAAGACTGTAAAGAGAGTGAAGGTGATGGGGGGGGGGGGGGGGTGGATACAGTCTTTGAGCAAGACTATATTTCATTGAAAGGCATTCTAAAATAATCAAACATTTTTGCATAATTGCATACTTTTGACAATTGAGCTTGTTAATTTTAGCTCTGCAGTTCTACCGCAAGAGAGACAATGTAAGTGCAGAGATAGAAGAGATGGAGACAGAGGCCCATGCAGCTGCCAAGGTTGAAGCTTACAGTATGAAGAAGGTGTTAACAGATAAAAGTCTTCGTTGGCCTCTCATCATTTGTGTTGCTCTACAGGCTGCCCAGCAACTCTCGGGTATTAATGCTGTAAGTGATATTATTCTAAATGTTTTATTAAATTGATGAATTAATTTTTTTGTAAATTTTTTGTCTGACCCGGATACCCCCATTTAGGGCCAAAAAATCGCACCCCTTATTTGCCGGCCACGGCCCTGATATTATAGTTACAAATTATAACTAGTGAAATCTGAGGTATGAGAGGAAAGAAATGCTAATTTACATTATGATAAAATGAAGATTCAGTTTTCAGGAACCGAACAAGATACATGTAAAAGATTCCAAAGGTGGTTTTGTAAGTTCCCAACATTCCAACACTGTTTTACTTTATTTCAGATATTCTTCTATTCTGGTAGTATCTTTGAGAATGCACAGGTTAAGGATATTCCCATGGCTGTCCTTGGAACAAATGCCGTCAATGTTGGCATGACAATCGTATCTGTAAGTACCAGACTACTTTCTTATTAAATATTACTACATGTCTTGAAATTTTCAAGTAGCACACATTATAACGTCTTTATTATGTCACCATTAGAACATGTTTTTGTAATAGTACATAGAGTTAGAAAAGTTTGTTAATTAAATTAGAAAATAAATCACATTTGAAAACATATGCTTGACAACATTTAGGCACATATGGTATGCTTTGAAATAAAAACAAAATAAATCAAAAAACAATAGTAACTGTATGCACAGAATAATTATGATTTAAGAGACACCACATAGAAACAGTACCCAAATAAGGAGTTACCAGTACATGTACCATGTACAGCAATTCCACATTTTGTTTTTTAAAGTATAGAATATGTATCACGTTGACATATTGTAAAGTTAGTACTGTACATGTGTTAAATAATTATATATTTTTTGTATTATTCATCCATTGTAATCAATTTATTCCTATTGTTTTTTTCCATACAGGTACTTATCATGGACAAGCTTGGTCGCCGTGTACTCCTCATCTTCCCAATGGGTCTGATGATCTTCACATGTATCCTTATAACCGTCTCCCTCAGTCTGCAGGTCAGTTTCCTTAGAACAAGGATTAAAGTCACATGTGTGTCAATGGACACTCCTCTATTTTTTTAACAATTGATAACTGGTTTTTCAGAAAAATATTTAATTTACATTTTTAATGCAAAAAAGAGAGCTTTAAATACTTTTTTGTTGGCTATATTTTGTAATAGCTTACACAGTTTTTTTTACTAAATAATCCCAGTTCTGTAGTCAATCCCATATTATTATTGATTTGAAACATTTATTTGTATTTTATTTAGGACAAGGTGGCAGGTATGAGCTATGTGTCTATTGGATGTGTCATAGGTTATGTCATTGGATTTGCTGTAGGTCTAGGTAAGTTAGATCTATGCTTTGTGTATAATTTCTAATTATTCCATGATAACAGAAACATAATTTGGATTTTTAAATATATTTGATAAAAAAAAGTCATACTTCGATATGCTGTACTCAGTTTGATAAAACTCAGTAGATAAAACTAATATCCCTCCATAAATGAAGAACATCCTGTAATAATGATTGGTCCATTGTTAGCGCATTTAGCTATTTCTAAGAAAATTCTTTTATATGCATGTGTTAAATGAAGAGAAAATGAATAGACTAAATGCAAGTAGAAATAAACTTGATTTATGTCATTTAATATTCAAAATTCAGTCAAAGTGATGTCATATTTGTACCTATTCGCATCTTAGTCATTCACCTGGCTTGGCAATGCCTCTAATACTTCTGATTTGTAATCAATAGGTATTTTTTACTTTTAGGACCTATACCTCTCATGATTGGAGCTGAGTTATTCAGACAAGGCCCCAGGCCCCAAGCTATGGCCCTTGGAGGCCTTATGAACTGGTTCTGTAATCTCCTCATTAGTATCTCCTTCCCCCTTATACAGGTGAGTGGTCAATTTCATTTATATCTGAGTAAAGTAAAACCTGCATATAGTGAACACCTATGGAGTCAAAGAAAAGTGTTCACTGTAGGTAGGTGTTCACTACAGATTTTACACAGGAGTCAGTCAATGTAAAGTATGTCTTGACGTGGTGTTCACTAAAGACATGTGTTCACAATAAAGAGGTGTTTACTGAGACAGGTTTTACTGTATACTTTTCGTATGTATTACAGTGAAAATCTTGAGTTTGAAGAGTGATATGAAGAATTAAATGGAATCAGGCCAATTTCATTCAGTCCTTTTCTCAACTTTTTCATTTAGAAATATTTTCTCATTGCATTTGTCAGGTGAATTTTGTAAACTGTGAAAGGAAAATCTTTACTTATTCCTCATTTCCCCCTCATTTGTGCATTCCATGTCCTTGAATCAATATTACAGTTTAAATAACATCATTCCTTCAAAAATAATTTTCTTTGAATTACTAGGTGGGCCTTACTATCCAATGCCAGGTTACTCTTATCTATTTAATCTTACAGTTAATCCAGTGACATTATCTACATGTATTATATTTCATGCATGTTTTCTTTTATTTTTCAGGAATCTCTGAAGCAGTACACCTTCATTATCTTCATCATCCTTCTCACTCTTTTCCTCGTCTTTATCATATTTAAAGTTCCCGAAACCAAAAACCGGACAATTGAGGAAATCGCTAATGACTTTGCCCCTGATGGTGAACACATTGCTGTTGAGGAGGTGATGGATGATAATGCGGGAGGGAATGGTGAAATGATGCCACTTAAGTCTACTCAACCTGATGATGTGAAGGTTTAATATCAGCATTATTTTAGGAAATTTAATTTTACAAAGTCTTAATGGTGTTTATGTATACAAAGTGGGCTGCCATACATGTAGAGGTTCTAATGGGTTATTTGAATTAAATATCTTTAAAAAGATTACTTCACTTGGTCCCTTGGATTATGGGAGGGAATAAATAATGTACGAGATACGCGTATCTCATTTGAGTTGTTATGTAGTCTGATAGTGTATGAGAAAACGTAGAATGAAACAAACACATGTTTTCTTTACAAATAACATGCTACGCTTACTTATTAAAAACATACGTTTGCTTCATTTTAGTATATGATTAATGAAAATATGTCACGTGGTATTTTTCTAAAGTAAAATCAATTTATTTTGAATTCTATTTTAAATTGTTAGTACCACAAATACAGGTACTCTATATTACTTTGTAATTGGTGCCATTTTATTGAGCTTACAATTTTAATCTATTTGTTAAAACATAGGGCCAAATTGTAACTTCAATTGTATTGAAGGAGGTACAGGGTGAGACACTATAGCTACAGGGTGATCTCATATGCTATGTTGTACATAAAATTTTACCATTTTGCATTATGTTCATTTAATAAGTTTATTGAGTCACCTTGTATGTCAGATACTGCCAGTTTTGTACTTTGATGATCCACCATCTTTGGATTTTAGTAGTTCAGATTGTTAACTGCGTTCATACTTAGATTATATATGAGCCACACTACCAAACAAATCAAATGCATTTGGTTCAATAGTTATGGAGTACATGTATTGTTATGGATTTTTTTATCTACCTCTTATTTAAGAGAGTTATGAATGTTACATAAGATTTATTACTTTCCTTGTTAAATCATTACGCAACAGCTGTTTAATAATGTTCTATTTATTATTATTCTTTATTTCATAAGTGGGCATTGTTATATACCATACTGTAAATACTTCACTGTAAAGTATTATATAATTATGAAGCTGGCACATGTATGTTATTTATAATATAACTGCATGTATTGTGTCGTATGTGTCTCAATTAAAAACTGAATATGCTTATATAGAAAATACATAATATAATACTGTATGTAGAGAGTATACTATAATTCATGTTATATGCTACTGTATTTTTATGAAGTATTGACAAAAAAGTTATTATTGCTGTCTATTATTGTTCTCTTCTTATCTTATTATGTCATCATGATTTCCATGGCAACAAGAGGATTTTTAGTCAAAAATATTTCGAATAGACACCAGGGGTGTATTTTAAATTATGGTATTTCTAGTACCATATAGCTACCGTTCATTCTGGCACTAAAACAAAATAATACATTAGCACCACACATACTGGTACTATACATCCAGTAGGTGGGTGTAGTTTTTAGTCACCGCATCAAATGCACAATACCTCAACTTTTGAAATACAATTGTAATGTGGATTGTAGAGAGTTTGTCTACACAATATACAATAACTTGATTTAAACCATGACACATTTGTAAGGAAATAATAGATCTGATCTGTAGGCTGTGAGAACTGGAGAGGCTTGAATGAGCCATATTTACATTCATGACATTGTATACACTGACTCAAGCATGCTATGACTTGCTGCATTAATTCAGAGTGAAAATCTATGGATATTATAATTCAGTTTATTTTTTGGTAGCCTATGGTTGTAATTAATGATTTTAAAGAAAGAATACTGATGTTTCAGTGACTCAAATCAGTTATGATTGTCACAAAATATCATGAATATTGTCCCATAAACTCCAATCAATTTGTACATGTAGAAACGACAGTCTTTTATAAGCAATTGGTTTGATTAATCATTTTTACATTAGGATGTTATCCAATAGAATGGGGTCTTTCATTTTTACGCATCACATCTTGTTTTCAAGTAATGTAACATCTGTGAGCGCAAAAACTTTGGTTTCTTGATATGAATCTCATTGTTAAACTGGAATGTATTCTATTTGTAGTTTATTTGAAGTGTAGTCTTGCCCAAGTCTGTATTTTTTTACTTATCTGATCTTGAATTATTATCGCCTTGGCAGTCATTATAGAAATCAAGATAAGTAAAAGAGACCTACCTAGGCAAGGTTATTTGAAGTGTTTCATGTACATATATATGATGTAAATAAGCCAGAGAGAATATATAGCATTGTATAGGGGGTGCTCTAAAGTTAGCGATAATGGTATAGAAAAATAATGCACATATTTACAGTGGCAGCTAAAGGAATGAATATTTACATTGTTTACTGTACATAAGTAATAAATAAAGCTAATCTAAGTTTTGGAATTATGGAAAAATTGTAATTCAAGGGATGATCAATAAAAAATGGAAGTGACTATCTCAGAAAATATCAGATGTCATGAATTATGGTGATACATTTTAACATACATTTATAGTACTAACTAGAAGTAAGAAATTGAACAAGTTTAATGTGAGCAAGTTCACTTTCAGATTCTAGATTCCAGCATTGTATCTCCAATATATTTCCTTGATTATGTAAAAGAGCCATTAAATTCAAGCCACTGAGATGCTATATTTCTGATGCATATGAAGGCCACAATCATGATCCATAAAACATTTTGTAATACCATTTGTGCGTAATGTGAAATATACAGTACATTGTATATTATGTACATGATGGTTATGCCTAATGGGGCCATTAGCTTGGCAAGAAATATGTATTTGATCTGTTAATATCTAGAAATAAACACAACCAAAACGCAACATTTTTATTAATATTCTTAATTGCCTTCTGAGTGTTATCCTACAGAAATTGACAATACAAAATGATTGACATATTGTACTTTATAACACATGCTGTATTTATTGCCTTATATTCTTGAGGTCAAAGTAACTGCAATTGAAGATTTCAGTCTCCGGGGGATGGGGGAGAGGTGAAAATGAACCAGTTGATAAAGTTATCCCATTAGCATTTAATAGCCACAAACGTTACCAAATTGTAGAAGTGAGGGTACGTTAAACATAATTTCAAGGATTATTTAGATTGGCCTTATATAACTGGATATGTTGTGTTAAAAGAATAAATATAGCAACATGCGAAGAATTATAAGAAAAATGTAATAAATATGTTTGTTATTTATTATTTCTCGATTATAACCATTGACTTAAGTGCAGCCTCAGATTTTTCTTCCGAAGAATTCAAATGGCTTTTATGCCACTTTAATATGACACTCAATATGAGAAACATTGATACATTAAATGATGAATATTAAATATTCCTGAATGTAGTATGACATCCAGTATTTCATCATGTTAAATTCTGTTTTTTATGAACCAATCTAAAAACTTAATGTGCAAAACCTGAAGGCAATTCAATAGAACTAGTATATGATAGCTTTGAAATCTCATTGAAGGCTCTTGAGATTTTAGGAGATTTCACTTTTAACCATCAAATGCTAACATTTTCTTTTATTTGATGACATATATGAATCCATGTGACCTCCCCTTAGGGCTACTTGTTGACTACACATATCTCACACAGAGGTGCATTAATTAATGTGCATAGATAAACCACAATAACAGGTTCATCTCATAGTATGCCATTGGATTTTTAGATTGATTTAATCAACACTATTTTATAAATCATGATATTAATTGACTTATGCAAGATTTTAACATTGAAGCCGATGGCAGTCTGGCCCAAACAAAACAAATCACACGTGGTGACATCTATTTTTTTCAATTTTTCAACTTTTCAATTCTTGGCCATTCTTTCAGAGGCATCTTGCAATACAAAAATATCATAAGTATCAGAATGACTTTACAATGTCATTTAGGATTTAAGCCCTGGACTCAGTGCATTGTTTGGTGAATCATACCATGAAGGTGTTGTTTCCAAACCTTTGCATGGCTGCACAGTGGGAATGCAAAATTTAGGAAACAACGCCTGAGTGGAATGAAGCAGCTATGCATTGAGTCATGGGCTTAGATTTTTTTTCACACATTGCAATGACAAAATTATCCAAAAGGAACAAAATCACTAAATAACACATTTTCAATGAAAAGTCCATTCATCACCATGACAACTGTTAACTAAGCTTAATGATCTTGCATGTGTTATTGATATTTCACACACTATTATGTGAATACTCTGTTCTGATTGGCTGGAATCGGACACACCTTGGATGATACCCCAAATAGTCCAACGAATCATATCAGATTGACAGGTCCCCGATTTCCCCACAATGCACTGCTGAAAATACAGCAGACGAATTCAGAATTGTTTTTTCCCGGTTTTTCTAAACATTTAGATTCAATTAATCATACTTTTAGTCCACCTGTAACTCTTACTGGGTCACAGTCACAGCAGAGCAAGGTAAATATAAATTTCCTAGATAAGGTAAAGTGAGTTGCTGTCAAAATTAGGGAATAATCAACTTTTCAATTTGGGCGGTTTTGACAGTTGACCACAGTATTGAAACTCCTTGCAGCGCACAGATTCAGGCTAGCTTGACTTTTAGAAGATCCATTCTAGATCAGTATCAGATCTTGATCAGAAAATGTGAACGAATAAAATGCACGATGGGGCTCCCGAAGGCCTAGCCTAGATCATGAGCCCATGCCTAGATCTAGAGTATCTAGACTATGGCTGCGTTTTTGAATGCCCGCGGCGCAAGTCAACAGACTAGATCCAAGTAGAAATAATCTTGATATACGTCATTGGATATTCAAAATTCAGTCAAAATGATGACATATTTGAAATCTATATATAAAAGTACATATGGAAATGAGATTTATGTAAGATTTTATGTAATATTACCGAGTTCGATGGTGCATAAGTTAGGCGGTGGATCATTTTGTAAGTACGACAATGTGAATTAATGCGACTGTTACTTTTTGGAAGGTTTTTTGCAAAAAGGTCGAGTGACATTTTAGCTGGCGAAAATCTTAAATAACCAAGCAAAAATCGCCACAGACATAGGAATTGAGCTGAAAAAGCATTAAGTTGACCATTTTGAGATTTCACCTCTATCAATGACCTTCTCAGGGTAAAAAAAGGTATTTTAAGGTACAGCTGGAAAGTAACATTTTGGTAAAAAATTGCTATACCAGCACATGTTCAGGGGTTTCAATAAATATTTTTTCAACGGGCTTCTTGGCAATTTCAACAGGCTGAAACTTATTTCACTTAAAATAACTTAGGGTAAGGTAAGTAACAGTGAATTTTATTTCTACATATTTGAACAGGCGTAATTGAGATTTGAACAGGCGTTTTCGCCACCCGTTGTTATTTTCTGGTACAAAATAAAGTATGAAGACATGTGTCAATTGCCTTGCTTTTTTCAGGAAAGAATCATTACATTGTATTCTTTAAGAATATCTAGTAGGAGTTTAATGGGAACTCCAGGAAATTCTGATATTTCACAGTTTCTATTTTTCCAAATTTTCTTTCAAAGTTTCCAGACAAAACAGGAGCTACCATTGACCTGTTTCCAGGTTTACTAAAAGAAGACAGTGTAATGATACTTTCCTGAGAAAAGCAAGGAAATACACACATGCCTTCATACTTAATTTTGTACCAGAAAATAACATGTGCAGGTATAGCAATTTTTTACCAAAATGTTAATTTCCAGCTGAACCTTAACTTGTTTCAAATTTCACCAATTTTTTTTTTCACAATCATCAACAAGATCTCAGAAATTCAAATCTGACTTAAAATTGAACTAATAATATTGTGAGCAACTTGGTGGTGATATTTTGTCATGTTAATGCCTTGTATAAATGTGTGACGATCTTTACTATACTATTCCATTTCCTACATAAACCGGCAGAGGTGTTTACTCAGTGACGATAACCTGTGAACCCTTGAGTATTATTCCGGGATCAAGCCTTTTATACTAAATGGTGAGCAACACCAAAAATGAGGATTCGATTTGCTAAACCTACCCTTTAAAATGCTTTTTATTTGAAGCTTCTTGCTCAATTTTGAAGGAACTTAAAAATGTTTTTTTGGCTTGCTTATGCCTCAATCTTTATTTCTCCCCACACTAGTGCTTTTTTATTAATAGTTCATAGTACAATTGACCAATTGTAGTAGTAATGAAAGTGTGAATGAATAAAAAGATAAATTGTGCAGTGCATGTTGTAATCACCCTTTGGGAGCCTTATCATGCATTTTGAGCACCTTGGTTCAAATTTTATCGCATATATCCAAATTATGGAGACGATTTTTCAGCGTTCGTTTTTCAACTTTTGTTTGATGTTCTTCTGAAATATTTCTTGACAATAATTAATAAAATGTGTATTTGTGAGACAAATTCCATTATTCCGTCACACAAAATCAGGAGTGATTTCAATTTCTTCATCAAATGTGTGGCAAATACGCATTTCGGGATCGTTGGATGGCTTCTACAATGCCGTAATGAAATGCCTGATGAAATGTTGCTTCATCTTTATGAATGTATATGTATATATATATTAATAACCCTCATTCTACTTGATTTATAATGTATACTAGTTGTTGCTAAATATAACTTCTAATGTTCTTATTTCAGATGTCATATGTGAGTACAGGTACCTCGTCACCTATTGCTGCCCCACCAATGGCACCAGGGTCAATGATGCAGATGATGATGTCGCCATCAGCCAATGTAGTGTCACATAATGATTCTCAGTATGGAAATAATGATATTAATGACTATGCACAAACTTCAGCATATAACAACATGAATAATGAAATGATAACCTCACAACAATCAATGTTCCCTATCCCCACACCCTCTCAAGAAGCATTAAGGGCAACTGCATATCGTGGTATGGTGCCCTGTGCCCCAAGAATGTATCCATACCGTATGCCACAAATGGCTTATAACATGCCGCCTTACCCTACAGCGATGGCAGTGCCTTACCCAGTCCAGATGAAGAGGGCTGGCTCAGTCTATCAACCTCCTCCCCAGGGTAGTCCAGATCTAACTCCGTTAGGACCAGGGTTTAGTCCAAACAGGCACACTGTGAGCGATGGAACTAATAATACACAGCCGTCAGAGCAAAATGATACACCAAAAGCCAGTAATACTGGTACAAGTGTCCCTGAAAGTGATAATGTCAAACAAGACAACGAAACAAGTGCTAAAATTCAAGAATCAAATGTTGAAGCTATAGGAGAGGATGAGATCTCTAATTTACCAGAGGAGAACACTTGCACCATTGAGCGCTCTCTCAAGGAAGTTATATGCCTCTATATTGAACATCTTGTTGAAGAAAATGAGGCTAAAACAGGGATTTCACAAGCTCTTACTCCTCCCACACCCCTCAATTTTGAGTTAGAGGCTTACTTCCAAGAGGCTGAAAGGAAAGATATCCCCTTTCCCACAGACAAGTTCCGCAACTGGCTTGAGTGTAACAACATGCGTTTGGAAGTAGATGTTGTGGCGAATAAGTTGACAAATAACTCAGGAAAGATGCCTGATATTGGACATGCCTCTTCTAGTCAATCTCCAATGAAAAGTCAAGAGCATGTTGAAAACAGTCACGATTTGTTGGATGAGTATCGCAAAGCATACTATGATAGCATCAATAGAAAATCCACAAAGGGAAATAATCTTAGTGTCAGTGATGCAACTATTTCCCAGGATTCACAATCTGAAATTGAGCATTGTGAACCAGCTCAAGAAATGAATGATAAGCCAAGTGATACTATTGAGAAAAGCAAGGTTTCTGAATCTGATGAGCAAACCCAGGCTGATGAGCCAGCCCAACCTGAATCTGTTTCCGAATGTATCAATACAAATGGGACACAGGAGGATATTGCTACTGATGAGAATAACAATACTGTTGAAGTTGGACCAGGCAATGATTCCATTGATTCCAATGCAGAAAACTCTGGAAAGGGTCAAGATATTACCATTTCCAATGATGTTAAGAAAGAAGCACCAGATACACCCATCCCAATTGATATCAAAGAGGAAATTGATACAAGTAGTTCTAAAAGAGGAACATCCAAGAGAAAATCAAATGACAGTGACACTGGAGTGAGACTTACACGATCTAAGAAACCTAAAATCATATAAATACACAAACTGCAAATACAGGATATATCTGTCAATACATTCTCATTTGCATGCTGAGGTTGAAATGTGACAAAAGCAACACATTGATTTAAAGACTGTAATAAACCAAAAATCAAAATTGTCAATTGCAATTAACAAACATAAACTTTTTCCTGAGAATCTTTTCAAAATTTGGTGTCAATTTAATTTGATGAATATTGACCATAACTACAAATTAAAACTAGTACACCAAATTAATACATTCATTTCTAAATAGGATTCAATTAAATGCATGTTGTGAAATTCATTTGCAAGTAAGTGGCATCTTTTGCACTTTTTTATTAATTTAATAGTTAGGCCACTAGTATATTTTTACTGATGGTATTATATGTACCAGAAAATATGTTTAATTCAGTGTCGCATCTCATGAATACTAGACAGGTTCCAATTTCAGAATATCTCAAGGGAAAGGGTTTTTGAGGCATTTTTTAGAAAAAGCAACAGACCTATTTTTTCTGGATCAGTTTTTCATGCTGATAAAGATATTAAAAGATGACAGCTCAACGGGGTGGTCACGACACTGAATTTTAGCGTTTTTACCCCCTGTGAAATTATTTTAGGGGGTACTATAATATTAGTTCATAACTCAAAGGATATATAAACTATTGTTCTGAGTTCTACAGCATACATTGTTAGTACAGAGATGAATACTACCCTAAAGTTATAGGTTGATATCTTTGTTGGTTTCGGAAAAATACAATTAATTAGAAAAATATATGCAATTTTTGTCATTTTTTCCTTGCTTATTTTATATTTGTAGCTTCAAGCAAAATATGATAACTTAAACAGCTTAAAGTAGTATTCTAACAACATTCCCAAGCTATGTGTGATATTGTAATACATCTATTATAGTGATGAAGTACTATTTTGTAATTTTAATATGACTTTATAGTGCCCTACCCCTGGTAAATAGAAGAAAGTTGGTGTGGTTTTCTTCTGGTTTTAACATTTTATTGTCTTCTTAGTTGAAGATACAATCAATTCTGTCAGTTAACCATGAGTAGCTTTACAATGGTTAACTGTTCCCATGAATAGAGGGTTGGGACCTCAAAAATACCAGAACTGTTAAGTGGCATCCTTGGGCAACCCTCTTCAGAGCATTTCCCTTATATAATCCGATAAAATCTGCAGGGGACACTATAAAAAACTTATATATCTAAGATACTAATGAAGATACTGAATTTTAAATTTTCAGGATTTGGTCCTGGTATGATAGGTAATCCGTATGACAAAAATGACAAAAAGAAGAAACTCTGTTGCCATAGTAACAAGAATATGACACTATTTGTTCCTAAGAAATGTGTTTTAAGGGGTTTTGTCTTTCTCTTCACATTTTTAATTCTAAATATGTCCACAATGTGGGATGATTAAAATTATAGTAAAGTAATATTTTCTATTGTTCTCTAAAATAGAAGTTGCTATGGCGACACATAGATCATAGAAAAAATCCTGGGATGATCACCCTATTTGTCAGGAAATTAAAATGGAAACTGAAAAATGAGTTTCTTCCTACTGAATAGCAATTTGGTAGACCAAGGCTGACACGCACAGGAGAAAACATCTATCAGTTCTATGTCATTTTGTTGTTATTTTTTTTATATTTCACTAGCAATCAACCCATCAATATATTTTTCAAAGTTGTTGACCTCATTTTCACCAAAAATGCTATCATTTTATTAATGTTTAATGCATTACTATTCTTTATTTTAATGTATCAAATAGCTCTTGAAAAGAAAACTGAATTCCCCTAAGATTAGTGTTCCCATGTTATTTCCCCTTTGATAAAATTCATGCTATCCATTGGTTTCAGTTCATTTTGGTCATCCAAATTCAGTGTCTTTAAAGTCCCTGGAGCAATCCACTTTTCCTCTTAGGAAATAGAACATGTCTCAAAGCATATTCTAATTATGCATTCAACAATATAATTAAAGGTTGCATCTTTGGTAAAAATTAGGTCAACATTTTTAGTAAAAAGTATGTTGATTGGGCCATTCCCTTTAATATCACTTAGGTCTGATTAATCATTATATTTACTTTTCTTGAAGATAATGAATAGATCTAAAAGATATACCCATGTTCATGGTCAGAAAATATTCATAATTCAAGTTAGAATTGTCTGAAGTTGTTTGCGATAACCTACATGCTCCTTTATAACATTATAATGTAAATACAGTAGAACCTGTGTAAGTGGAACACTCTCCATTCTTTCTGCCTCAAAGCATTCCACTTAGAAGGTGTTCCACTTACGGAGGTTTTGGGTTCACAGGGAACATACAAGATCAAATATAAAATTTATATGTATCATTGGAATATGATTCTTCCTTCATTACAGGGCAGGTATATACCATTAATAATCCATTTATTTTACTCAAAAAGGTATCGGACATTCTTAATCCTCCTAATTGTGCCAGTCTCAGGTACAAGGATTAGGCAATTAAGTTTTAAAGACTTGTTCCTACTGCTAATAATTCAATTGTTTTTAAATGACATTTTTAATCTTACTTATTAAGTTTGAAACAAACAGCAAGGGATATTAATTAGTGGTAGCACCACGTGTCCAGTTCTACAGGAGGTTAATCCGATTTTCTGAATGAAAATCTTATGAAATTTGCTGATTATCAAATTAATTATTGGTTGCATCACATGTTGACCTCTACAGGAGGTTAATCCATTAAAATCCTAATTTGCCAATTATCACAGTATTACCTGTTTTCATACCCAGATATCATTGAAGGAGATTAATTCTGTTTACATATATCAATATTGAAATCTATGGAAATTGACTGTTCCACTCAGCAGGTTAATTTTTCAATATGGGGCGTTCACTGTTCAAGTTTGGAGGTGTTCCACTTACAGAGGTTCAATTAACATTAAGTCAATGGGTTTTCAAAACGGGACTTTGAAAAGGCGTTCCACTTGGGAGGTGTTCCACTTACGGAAGTGTTCCACTTAGCAGATTCTACTGTACATTACTTGTGCATGATGACCACCATAGTCTAGTTGCTCAAATGAGACCAATTGATGATTATAATGTTTAGACTTTATGTCAATGTCCAGACTGTATGCCAACCTCTCTAGTATGTGATTACACTAGATTTCATTATGATACATGTCCTTAATTGAAAACTTACATATAAAATATCTTAAGTCCTATATTCTATTAATAAATGAATTAGAATGTCACCTAACATTTGATGATGGTATGAATTTATTGATTTGGTGTCTATGAATACATGTTTCTAACTTAATGCTGCAAAATGATAAAATTCACCACATCCACTTTCTTCAATTTTCCAGGGGTAGGGCACTATAAAGTCATATTAAAATTACAAAATAGTACTTCTTAACTAAAATAGATGTATTACAATACCACACATAGCTTGGAAATGTTTTTAGAATACTACTATGAGCTGTTAAAGCTCTCATATTGTGCTTGAAGCTACAAATATAAAATTGGCAAGACAAAACTTGCGTATCTTTTTCCTGTTTTTTGTATTTTTCTGAGACCAATTAGGGTATTAACCCATAACTTTAGGATAGTATTCATATTTGTACTAGCAATTTATGGTGTACAACTCAGAACAATAGCTCATATATCCTTTGAGTTATGAACTAGTTTCATAGTACCCCCTAGAATATTTCCTAGGGGGGTAAAAATGCCAAAATTTTGTGTCGTGACCACCCCGTTGAGCTGTCATCTTTTAATATCTTTATCAGCATGAAAAACTGATCTAGTAAAAATAGGTCTGTTGCTTTTTCTAAAAAATGCCTCAAAAACTTGAATTATTTGAATTGGAACCTGTCTATACTGGAATATGTATGTTTTTTTCTTCATTTTATCCAAGGATAATTTAATGATTGTGTTGAGCAGATTGATGAAAATTCAAGGCCAGGTGTGATGACAGTCAACATTTGATGGAGATTGTCAGAAAGGATTTTTAGATTTTAAGATTGTATATAGCTCATGTAGCAAGACGTTACAGTTCTAATCTATATTGGCACATACTGTAATTGTAAAAAGTATTTTTAAATCAAACACAAAACACTTGTAGATATAAATTATTACATAAAAGTAACAATTTTATTCAAAGTTATTTTATTATGCTGAATGACATTGACATTCAGATCAATTATATGAAACATAAATACTACACATAATTCATGTACAAAACATATTAATTGTAAATATTTCTAACCTAATATATCCTCCATTTTGAACACCATTCATAGGTTTGTGTGAGACCCCCCTGACTTGGAGAGGGTCGGGACTTTGATACAAGTTTTGTCCCAGGGGGTATTTTTGGGAGTAGGGACTTTTGAAATGAATATTCCTGGTAATCAAATGACTGAATTGATTTGACCAGCTATTATTGCTCCAAGAGGAGGGAATCGATTCCCTAAGTTGCTCCCAGGGTCGGGAATTTGACAGCCAATTTTTCATCATTTCCATCCCTTCTCGCTCGCAGAGTCTCACACTAACCTTTTAATGGTGCATTGATGTTGCATGAATATGTACTTTGCATGTTCTTTTTTTAATTATATGAGAATACATCTTTGTTAATGTACTCGGATTGATTTTAATTGGATCATTATAAACATTACATGTAAAATCCATGTACATTTTTTGAGCAACAGTAATGTCTGGTATTAATGTTATATAGTGTAGGTCTACTAATAATTTTATACCTGTATTTTATTGTAAGTTGAATCTAACTTTTATTTATTTTTATGGTAAGATTTATTTAAAAAGTGAAAAGGCAGTTGATTTTAAGTATTTTTTCTAATCCCTGACAGTTTGAATGACTTGATCAGAATGACAAATTGTGAAAAAAGAGATTTCATGCAGTCTTCATGTCTTGAGGTAGTTTTATACTATTTCATTAAATTGGCATTTTCATTATATGATCCAAAAAACTAAAAATTCTAATACATAAAAGCCCTATAAGGGGAATAAAATACTTGTAGCTTAAAATATGGAAATTGCGATTTTAACGATGTAGGCTTGTTATGCTAACTATTGGTCCAAATTGAGGGATTTAATAATTTTGTATGTTATTCATTTTCTTTATTCATTACAATTTTACTTGTAATTCTTCAGTGTGATCTATATATTCATGTAAGTCATGTATTCAACAAGTAAACTATGAGTATGACTAAGATATAGTCATGTACAATAAATTGTTCTAAAATAAAAAATATAAATGAAGGTTTAACTTTATGTCTTTGACTATATGCATTATGTATATGTAGGGGTCCCACGATACATATCTCATTTAGATAATAATACGATACATAATAATCTCAGGTAGCAGCCCCATCATTGGAGCCTATAAAGAACAATCACACGACGATGACATATACATCAATGTGATTTGAAATAAGCAGTCTAACAGTAGGTGAAAATGATCACAAAAATCTAATGGATGATTTCAATACAATGTGGTCAAGTTAAAAACATCATTCAAATTTTTCAATATATGGTGATGCATTATGCTGTAATCTTATCGCCACTAAATAAGCCAATTAAAGATATTTGATGCATCGTGGGGGGCCCCCTTCTTCCTGTAGACGATGTACTTTGTACACATTGGCACAATATGTTAGTCCTAGTATGATTAATAATTTTATAATGGAATATATATTGAGAAGATAGCCTATGTTACAAATAAAATCTTTGAATAAAGTCATGTCTGACCAGCAGAGATGACATTTGATTTATAGTACAGTGGAGACGATAACCCCATTTAACGTGTAACACGGAGATTGCCATTTTGCACGTCAATTGACGTGAATCACGCCAATAAGCATAATGTCCATTGTAATTCATAATTTAAACACCAGGTTAATTAGAAGACCTAGTGTTTAATATATATACAATCTAAGTAATATATATTTTATAGTACATATACTTTGGTAAACATTAATGATATATTAAATCCCAGGGAAGTATTTCATTCCAAAATTGTGGAGAAAAATGCCGTTCAATCTTGTGAATTTTCTGTCAATGTTACGAACCAATGAAGTCACCACCGAACTTGCATTCTTGGAAAGTCTAAATCGATCGATGGAACGCTTTTTATTGCATTTTCTTCAAGTAATTAATCTAATCTAGCACTTGTATGCAGGAATTCGCGATCCTATGTGGGAATTTCGCGCTAGAACTAATCAAAGTTACCTCTCACGAATCCTAGAAAAACGCCATATTGGAATTACTAATACTCCTTCAATTGTCTAGATATCGTCTTTCCGACGGGTTTTATGACAAAATTGGTACTGACCCAATGTTATTTTAATCTCTTAACACAACGTGAGCCCCAATTCCGAGAAAAGACCACTGGAAATCACTAAAATGGGGTCTACTTTCCCTCTTCTTTTTGACCGGAAGTGTTTTCCTGACCTCGGTGTGCTGCCGATTTTTTCGTTTTTTTCTGGCTGGATTTAGTTTTAAACCTTCTTTACAATGATCTAATGATTACCTTAAATGAATTTTGAACAATTTAAATTCCTATCCTTATTAGATCAGAATGTATTAGTTTTCTTTCGATCATTTGTTTACTTCCGGTTTGCTGTTGAATAAATATTTCGAGTAAACATTGACGTAAGCACATGATAATAGTTGTTAGTTCAAAATGCAACCCGGACAATAGCAAATGTTTATGATTATAACTATTACATACGATGCAGATCATGATTTACCCACTAGTTTCCCAGTTTATAACTGCCTGTTGTCCTGCCGATAATATGTGAAACTTTTACAAGATAATAGTTTGCACGTCAATTGCCGTGCAAAATATTGCACGTCACTTGACGGACATGACGGCAATTGCCGTTATTATCTATTGACATGCGCACTTATGCGTCATAATTTCACGTCAATTGTCGTGCAACATGGCAATTGCCGTACTTCACGTTAAATGGGGTTATCGTCTCCACTGTAGTAGCACCATTTGGGATTCAATAAAAATAAATATTTGAGACAATTTATATAACTACATGTAATGATAATACCTAGAGAGTAAAGTCCCATTACATATGTACAATGTACAGACTAAGGTCAAAACTAAGGTCGTTCAATCTAAATTATCAAAACGAACTCTTAAATAAGAATACTAATGCACAACCACTGTACCCGGACTTCTCATTCGGGGCTTGAGCTGAGAGCCAGTCCACTGGTAATTGCCAGGTTGTTTTTGAAATGGACCAGCTGAATTATTAAGTTGGAAAATAATATGACAACTAGTTCGTAATGCCATTTTGACCAGCTGCACTTATAACTTTAGCTCGACCCGTTTGCATTATGAAAACATGAAGTCAAACATTGGGGCTAATTAGAAAAAACTTGCCATTAAAATAGGGCACCATTCATTCTTAAAGTACTAATAATCCCAAACTCCAGGAAGTATTAATGGAATATAATATGAAATTCAGAGTCTCATCATTTACATGTATAACCTATTCTCTGAACTGCATACTTGCAGACATTAATACTGTATGGAAAAACAGCAAGAAATCTGAGACCTATTTTCTATTTTTCAACTCTTAACCATACGAATATATTGTGTTGGCATTTAGTACATTCTTCTTTCAAATATTGCTCCTGTGTATTTTCAACTCTTCATTTTCGAAGTTCTCTATCACAATATAATATAATAGAGTTCACATCAATGCTTGTTCCATTATCATATTATTCCAATTTCCAACATTTTTTGGGATCTAAGTCACAAGTCAGAAAGAAACACCTGATCAAAACTCTCTCTTGATCCAATGAAAACAGTTGTGCCATTCTCAAGGGTTACCATAGTGTGATTGGTCTGACATCACAGATATTGAGATTCCAGTTGAGTTTGTTCCATTCAGATTATCATAACTGCTCATCTGATCCATCCAATAATTGAACCTGAGTCTTAGTTCATCGGCACATCGCTGATCCTGGACATTTTTAGAGACATGTTCTATGGAAGCTAGGTGGCGCCATTTGTTGAAAATGGTGGAAATGAGCTCTTTGTTCTCCTGGAGAGTCATGTGAGCAACAGTCTTGTGCTGGATGAATATATGTCGCCAGATCCGCCAAATTTTACGGTATACTTTATAAACATACTGAAATTATGGAAAAAATAAATTATGGAAAAAATAAATATATATAGTTCAATCATACACTAAAAATCATTCAAACATTTTCAAAAACATTCAACCCCTTGTCAAATGAGTAAAAAAAAATATATGGAATTCAGAGCTGATACCATTGTCTGTACCTTTCACACATTGGAGCATTTTGTTCAAATATTCAATTAATGTGTACTCACCACTTGACGTGCAGTGTGGGCCATATCAACCCTCCTCTTCCAGAGAGTGCCATACTTCAGCATCAGCTTCTGTTGTCTTTTCTCTTGCTGCCTTGTCACGAGAACCTCATTGTACCAAGCCTGAAGCACTAGTTTGCTGGAAAGAGGCAAGAAAATGTTTGTTACCAAAAAACACAAAAGATATTATATGCTGTTTCTAAATGTATTTGTTTCCTTATGTAGGCTATTAGGCTAGTATTAAATTAACACTCAATTAGCTCTTTGAAATCATTATTGTTTTGGCCAATTGTAAATAACCATCCATTGGAGGTAATTTTAGATTTTTTGTCAATTCCTTTATCACTAAGAGAAGTGCTAAGTAGTAAGCAGAAGCAGAAGATGGACAAAATGTGAAATGAAGAACATTTGAAAATGAAATATTACCACTGTTTTTGTTCATAATGATGTTGTGCTAACTCAGCCAGGTCATGGTCCATTCTTCTAGTTTCTTTCAAATCTTTCAGATACACACACCACGCGTTGAACATTCTAGCCAGCACAACCTTGCTATAGTGTTTCACAGCGAGGTTCTCTCTGTAGTGCTCTCTCCATGTGATGAAATATTTGGATATCAATCTTTTATTATGACGATGTTTAATTTCTTGGGATAAGCCAGCGTGAACTATGCAGATTTCATGTTTTGACTTCCAGGTTGTTAGAGCTTGTTTCATGAGGGACTGATCATGTTTTGCAATACAAACATTTCTGAGCAGATTCAGTTTCTTCTTTTTCACAATGAAACCATGCCATAATTGAATCACTCTAAAATAGGAAATGTATTTTTATTATATTTTGAGTATATATATGTAATTAAACTGTAATACTTTGTACTTTGTAAATACTTTGTAGGTAGTTTGATAACATACATACTCTGAAATAAATACTCGCACATTAAACATGAGCTCCAAACTATATGATTTGCCATATCCTGTTTCTGAGGTCTGAAATAAAATTCGGCAAATAATACTATATTAGTGATATGTTACATGTACATCTCTTTACCTGGTCTGCAGTGTGCTCTGGTAATGTTTATTGACCAGTTGTCGCAGGTTGTATTCATGTTTCCATTGTTGTAGAGCTGTCCTTATTGTACACTCATTCAGGGCTCGTTCCAATGCAGCTTGACGCATCTTTCTGTCATATTGATCTGAAAAATATCTTTATACTTGAGGCTCAGGAAATTATTTTTTTAGGAAATCAAATTATATTTCATCAAAATTTCCTGAAAACATAATTTCAACAATAAGTATCTTAGTTTCTAGAGAATTGGAGAATGTAAAAGTGACCATGATATAACAATGAGTTCACTTACTTCTAGTCCAGATGCACCAAGCCCTCAGCACCTTCCCCACCAATTGTCTATTGTGGTGGTTTGTTGCTTTGGTGTCATGACAACAGTCTCGCCAGGCAGTGAACTTGACCTGAACATTCACCTTTGACCTCATCAAAAGATGGCCTCGCAGCAAAGTTTCACGTCTCTCGGCTAGGAGATATTCGTTCTTCCAGATTCCATACGACACTGAGAGCTGGAAAATAAGTTATAAGCATTTGTATAATTTGGATGTTGACAAACAGAATAATTATTCATCCCTAACAGATAAGTATATCTTACTTCTGGATTTTCCGTCTGATGTCAAACTACAACACAATAAAGTGCTCAATGAAAACATTATATCAATTGCATTTTGAAAAATACACACAGAATGCAAATGATCGTCCTGTCATACTGTGATGTTTTCTTTTCTGGACATTTGTTATTAGTTACAAGATTTTGGTTTCATTGGCAATTTAGATTTCACCTATATTACCTGTTTAAGATGTCGCTGCTTCAACAATTCTTTTTGTTTCTCTTTCAGCGTGTGTTTCCTCAATGTAAAGTCTCTCCAGCCTCTGAAGCACCTGAATCATAATGAAACTTTTTTATAGCATTGTACATGTAAATAAACTTAAAACCAATCATTTTTACACTATGTGTCTAAACATGGTCCTAAAAAGTCAACTGAAATCATTATACATTATACAGTATGTTACATGTACTACATAAAAAGCGTGGGAACCTACTCACTTTGAAATAATCTGATCTTGAAAATGATGTTTGGCATCTTCAACTTTCTTAGTATTATTGCACCACATTTTAAACAGTCGTTTAGTTGCCATAGTTTCCTGTATTTTCCTGAACTCATCTGCTTCCAGCCTCTGAACCTTACATAGCTCTGTTTTCTCACGCCATAGGTTACCCATTTTAAGCACAAGGATTCTCAGATTGCGTTGTTCATTAAGTGCTGCTTGCCATATACAGAACACCTATGAACATTAATTAACATATTGTGGTCATATATTTCTCTTTTTCAATGAAATGGTTTATGGGTACAGACACATAGACTTTTGTCTAGATGTATCTAAGACATACAATGTTTAGTATATAAAGATTTTTGTGTACAATTTTTAATCAAGTAAACTTTAAGACACAGAAAAAGAACACATAACACACCTTTGTTTTTAACAAAGCATTATGGAATCGGACAGCTCGAGAGGCTAGTGTCTTCTGATGCCAATAGGTGGCAATCTGAGCAACTTGTTGCTGCAACAATGCATCATGGTGATCTCTGGCCTGTTTCTGTGTAGCATACACATGGAACCAATGACAGAATGCACCTGCTAGACGTCTAGAGTTATGATGTCGGTGGAACAATTGCAGTTTCATCTCATTTTCCTTATCTTCAAGAACAGTGTTTCTCCATCCCCTGAGACATCTAAAATGACAAGGGATTCAATTTGTTTTAATTGCAATTTGTTTTTAATGATCATGAATACTCATGAATCAAATTACAACAGCAAATAACTAAAATTGACTTGTCTCTAACAACAATTTATCCAGATTTTGAAATGATCAAGCTATTTATCAATTATGTGAACAAAAAAAGTTACCTTGCAAGTAAATTCTGTTCATATATTTGTCTGAGTCGCTGTAATTTATGAGCTTCTTGTCTCCAAAGTTGGAAGCCTAAGGCTAGGGACCGCATGTCAAACTTCAACCGCAGCACCTCACCAACTTTACGTCGTGCCTTGCATTCTACAATAATAATAACAAGTTAGGCATGTCAAACACATTTCAGTTTCATGTTGATTTTGATCAAATATTATCAAAATAAACATTTCAGTTTATAAAAATGGTTGTTCATTCTCAAGACAATTTGCAATATAGATAGTATTAGTTGTTTATATTCTTATATAGTTATGGATGTACTCTACCTGCAGACCAGTAGCGCCATCTTTGTAAAATATCAGACATACGATTTCGCCATGATTCCACAAACATGACATCAACCTGACACTTCTGAGAAAGTCTACGTCGCCATAAATTCAACATCTGAAATAATTCATGTGATAAATTAATTCATACCATTCGATTCATAGTGTATAACTAGGCATTGCTGAATATCATAAAAGCAACATTCAGATCTATGCACTTATATATACAATGTTTATATTGACTCTCTGATGTCATTACAATGACATATTAGTCACAATAAAAATTCTTACAAGTACAATAAAACCTGAGTATTTAGTGGAATGCCTTTGGTATCTCAAAAATGTTCGACTTTGAAAAACTGTTCATATTTGACAGGATTTCGAAGAATGTTTCACTAATGGAGCTGTTCCACTTGACAGATTTTACTATACTCATGAAACTTCACTGTATTGTCAGACCCAAAATATTTGTAAATAGTTAGGTACTCTACATATATATATTTTTTTTTCTTAAAGTTGAATGTATATGTCTCAAAAGTTCAAAATGGCCTGATAGCAAATTCAATAAGAACCTCACCCTTTGTTTAGTTGACCTCTCCATAAAGTCTCTAGCCTGCTCCCTTCTCTGAACTCGTTCAGCTACATATGTAGACCATGCTTGGAAGATTCGCTTACGAAGAGTATGTATGTAATAGCGCTTCACCTCAGACATCTGAGTAGACCTAGAATTGAGTATTATGTATTTTATTTGCATAAATAGTGTAATTGATACTATAAGACTTTTATAAAATGAAAGCTGTACTCAGAGCACAATTTGAACCATATACTGATGAAATAAATAACTAAAAAACAAAAGAACATTATCTTTACTATGTCCAATTGGACCCAAATCAACTACTTCCTAAGTCAACTTGGCCTCCAATCAACAAATCCCCAAGTCAACTGCTACCTAAATCAACTGAAACTCAAGGTAACTCTGGTCCCCAAGTCAACTGCTTCATAATGTCAACTCATTTAGAAGTCAACTAGTCCCCAAGTCAACGGGTCCCCTTCTAACAACCTACCTCATAATCCAGGCATGCCAGCATTGCCTCATTGTCTTTATGTTCAACTGCTGCTGGAAGTGATCCCCCAGCTTTGTGATGTTGGTGTTGAATGATGTGATATGTTGCCACACATCTAACACTCTCCCGCACTTCTCTTTCTCTGCCAACTAGAAAAGTACAATGAATACACTGTATTGCCACTTTAACTATGATGACATTTCAACTGTTTACCAACATCATGACTCTACATGGCTAACATATGCATTCTGGCATTCTCCATGTGGATTGTGTATGCTACACAGAAACAGGTCAGAAATCACCACAAAATATTGCTTTATCTTAAGATATTGTAAGAATCAAGGCTGGAACTATGGCAATTAGACCTTTTGACTCCCTAATCTCCCTATCTGCTCACAATGTTCAAATACAGCACCAATGTTCAAGATATTTCGAAGTAAAATAATTATGTTTTTTTTGTTCACTTATTTATAAGGTTGCACATTTAAACTAGTATTGGACAAAAAAGAAAAGCAAATTGTAAATAAAAAAAGATGAATATGAAGACAGTGTTGCACTTTATTTTTACCTTCTGTTTCCAGGTGTAGAATGTTGTAGTGAGAGTAAAATATCTGTGCTGGTCTATGGCTTTCAGTGTGTCATGTGTCTTCATTTGCCTCCAGGCTAAATATTGCCTCAACCCATCTAGACCCTTCTTTAGCAATACAGTGTTCTACAATAATACAATAAGTATTGTGACAATTATGCATACATGCGGTATAATGTAAAGTAAAACCTGTCTCATCCAAAAGCCACTGGGACTGGCCAAAGGTGTTGGAAATGACAGGTGTTCACATTTCAAATGTATTTTTAACAGATTTAAAAATGGGATCAATTTCGAGTTCACATTGACAAGTTTTCAGAGTGGGAATGAGGGCATGTCATTTACAGTGTAGTGTTGTACGAAGCATGTAAAGTAATATGGTGACAAAAGAGAAAGCATGTTTGGCAACATATACTGTTTTCAATCACAATGTTGAGCTTCATGTATGCTGTGTATATAAAACCATGTATGAGGCTACCTGATAAATGAACTTAAAATTTAATAAAATAACAAAATGATTAACTAAAGAATTTGACTGAATATTCTGCCTGCACCTCAGGCATGCTAAATAGTACTATATGCTGTTTTTATGTGAATACTAAAGGCTTGCCTGATTTAACTAACTAAAGTTGAAGTATCCAGTCTCCATGTTACTTACCCTGTGTTCTCTTGCCAGGACACAGGCTTTGTATTGGTATTTCCATTGTCTTAAAGTCTTTGCCAAGTAGGTCACTTTCCTCTGTTCCTCAAAGTCCTCTCTCATCAGTCTCATATCTCTGCGCCATCTTACATACTCCAACCACTGATAAAAGGTGGCACTCACGGGCCAATTACACCATCTATTGATTGTGTAGATCATTATATTCTGTAATGCAATTGTACAGAAACTTTCAGTTTAAAATTTAATGCAGAACCTTAGAATAAGTCTAGATAGAGAAACGGAGAAGTCAACATTTTTAAAAGCATTTAAGGTAGTTAGCGTGATGAGAATTCTAATAAGCAATGAAATGATATTTCTGTGGATATTCGCAGATCATGGTAGGATAAAAAGAAAAAAAAACAATCGTTACAAAGCTTGAAAAGTTTCCATACCTTGACATTCTTGTTGTTGTTCTCTATGTTGATCAAGAAAGGATCCGAGAAACTACTGCTGCCCAGTGACAGCTTCTCGGTCTCCAAACAGACCTTCTCCAGGGCATATGACCTTTCATAGCTTAGTCTACGGTCCAGGCTCTGTCGACAGCCCAAGGAAAGTGATCTGTAAACAAAAATATTATCACATAATTTCAACAGCATCACCATGTCATTGATGAACTTAATTTATTAACCAAATTAAAAGTGTTGTTGTTCCTAAATTAAAATATTCAATTCGACATTTACATTGCCGAATTATCAACAATGGCAATTTCATATGTATTCTGTTGAACTGATTATAGAAATAAAACAAAAAACATTAACTAAAAAAAGACTCAACAAAAATGTTCATACTTGTTTGAGTTAGTTGATCGAGGTGTGGAGAATACATTGCTATATGTGTCATTCTCTGCTGCGTAGTCACTGAGGGGGCTCAGTCTGTCAAGGGGGTAGAAATTGTGTTTGGTCAAGGAGCTAAAAGAACCATGGATCGGGGAGGGAGCATGCATACTGTCAATTCCACTACTGCCTCCGTTCGAGTGTTGGGCTAGGATACCTAAAACACAAAATATGTCATGCTTTATTAGGAATACATTCTGTACATATGACTAATACCAATAACTTAATGTTAACCATATAGATCAGCCTGTAGTTCTATAACTTTTTAAGCAATTCGGGTAACTGTGGATACTTCCAAAATATCTTAACAAAACTATAACAATGTACATTTATACCATTTTGTTTTTAAAGAAAAGATTGGCCTGTAAAGTTGGAAAATATTTAAATCATATCTACCATGACTCCCATTGCTGGAGAACCTTCTGTCAGTATTGCTCTGGAAGCCGTTACTATGGAAGCCACTACTACTGACACTTGTTATATGCGAAATCGATGATTCCTCACTGTTGGTAGGAGAAGAAGCAGATGGCGCTATGGTAGAGGCAGGGGAATACTGGGACTTTTCAATCTGTGTCACCAGTGTCATATGCGACCTGTCTGATAAATGGGAGTTCTCCGATGACTTAGATGGTGTGAGTTGAAGTGATGCATTGCACAAAGCTGAAGAGAATGTCTGAACTGAGTCACTGTACATGGCTCTTGTGTATTGGTGCCACGATTGGATGATGTCTCTAAGCCTCCTGCTGGCAACAACCCGCTGGTGCTCACTGAAATCATAATACAGTCATATAATCAAATACAGTGTATACTGTAATGTTAAATGTGAGGCTGCAATTTGTCTACTATGTATATGGATAGAAATGACAGTACTGGTTGTTTAAAAATGAAAGATTATTAGACTTATAGGTCCCATTAACATTTTATTTCAAAACTGACCCCATAGTTGGCCATGTGTATTTGTCATGTGAACTTTGTCAAACTGTTGAAGGGAATGAACAAAACACTTACCTAGCTATTCTAGAGCCAACAAGTTGTCGTTTCCAAGTTTCAAATGTTGAGTGCACAAGGTGCTCATTCTTAGCTCTATCAAGACGATCCAAGAATTCGCGGACTTCTACTTTCACTGTATTTGCATTTGCTCGCCACCTATTGAAGTACTTGTGCATCAAATTGAACCGATACGTCTGTAAGAACGAAAGTTTTTTTGTGTATGACCTCACTACTCATATAAAAAGTTAATAAAGATTGAAAAATTTATTAACATGTATATCCTGTACATTAATAATACGTGATTAGTCATTATCAAAACCCAGTCAGTCTTACCTTTTTTGCTTCCAGTTCAAATTTCACCATTTCCTTGTATGCTAATCTATTGCGCCAGACAGAGAACGCCCTCTTGAGGACCAAAGATAAACTATGAGCCTTGAAGTCCTCACACATATGCCTCCTTTCGACAACACTTTTCCATGCATAAAGACACCTAGTGGCACATCCTCGAACTATAGCTATTGCAACTTTTCTTTCTTTTTGCTTCATTTGATACTTCTCTCTGGAAATAATCAATCAATTTGTTAAAATCTATTTCATTCTTCCTACTTCATAAGGCCATATTACAGAGGATTGGCATTCTAAGATACATGTATTTTACTGCATACTTAAATGTACATAAGGATGCAACATTCTCATTTTACTATCTGAATCGTTTCACATGTACAATGCTAATGTGGTCAATGATTCTGTACTTTTATTCCCATGTAACTGTAAGAACACGGAGCTCAATAAGATGAGGGTTGTCCCCATGAATGACTTAGTTTAAAATATTGCATTAGAAATAGCTTGAAACTTTCTGAACAGCCTGTGTACCAGGTGCCATTCAGTGGTTGTTACCTCCAGATGAAGAAGATATTCCTGGTGGTTTGATTCTGATGTTCCTCAGCCAATTTCTGGAGTCTCTGCTTCCTTGTGTGCACCTCTCTCCAGGCATCAAACACCCTGGAATAACAGGGACCAAGCACAATTAAAACATGATTACCATTCAAAAAATTGGTAATCTCAAAATAATGTAATTCTTATATGGTCAAAATCTTTAAAAAACAAAAACAAAAAGATTTCAAAATTTTGCTTCTTGGAAAATGTGTGGGCTTCAACTATCTAATGGTTAAATGACTCTCAATGGCCTCATATCAGGGTCAATGAAAGTACAGTATTTCAGAAAAGATGTTCATTTTGAAGTACTTGTACACAATAAATATAGGCATGAAACAGCAGTTTATATTGATGAATTTACAGAGTTGATCTTAATTCAGACTAGCTTACCTAGCAGTAAGTTTCCTATTGACCCTGGTTCTAATAGGTTTAATGGTAAGGGCCTGTTGGGTCTGAATCCTCCATTTCGTGAAGATGTTACGCATGGTTGTACATTGCATGCCACGTTCAGCATCAATGGCTCTCTGGTATTGTCTCTCACACTGGTGTTTCGCTGACAACCATTTACCAAAGTACACTGAAATCAATAAGTCATTTTCATTATTTTCCCAAGGTCTCATTCTGTCAATATTTTCAATTTTTCAATTTATGAGAAATTGCTTTATTTTGTGATACAGATTATTGAAAAATTGTACTTTATGAATTCAGATGATTTTAATACTCTATCAAAATGAGTTCAACTCGAATCAGGGGCCATTTCAAATTTTTATCTGTGTTTTACTCTATATTTGAAATGTTTCATATAATCTCAGATTTCATTAGTTAAAATATAAGAGGTTGTGAATGTCTAATGTGGTTTAATACAGTAGGTGCAGGGTGTAGCAGCCATTAAAAGACAGTTGATAATAAACAATTTTTTTGTTGGCCTACCTCTTAGTGTATTTGTATCTCTATGAGGCTGGGTGGAAACTAGCAAATCATTAAGTCTCCTTATATGGACAACAGTGTGCCATCGATGGGCAGCTTTCCTGGAAAATGATCATATAAATGATAAATGAAAACAAAAAAAGATGGTAATCCGAATATATATTTGAATCTAATCACCCTCTCCAATTTATGGCATATTCTCATAATGCATACAGATGTATTATTCTAGTACATGTACAAACATATTTGATATTGTGCTTACACATTACTAATGTATTTTATGTACCATTACTGGCATGAACTGGTTTAGTCTATATTGCAAATAGATTACACTTTTGTACCTTGCACAAGCCATTGACCAATATTGCTGGGCCTTCTGTCTGTCCATGAGGAGATGCAGGTGGCTCACCCATGTCGCCAGGGCAACAGATTTCTGCCTCTGTCTCATTTTAGCCTGAAATTCCTCCATCTTACATCTGGAGCAAATAATGTACCAATTAAGTTACATCCATCAAAAATCATTAACAAATAAGAAAAAATTGAAAAACATTCTGATCAAAGCATTTAAACACAAGTCCAACAAGGGGATCTTGGGGCAAGGCAATTATTGTCATTATGACATTAATGCGTAGCAGTATATATTAGAACAGAACTCAACGAGCCAAAAGATGAGTCAGTAATATAAAACTACAAAAAAGTTACAACCTTTTTGTCAGTATTCAGAAAACATCATAATGCTACTCCCAGTTACTTTACCTTTGTATGTTCCTAATTTTGGTATACTCAGACCATCTACGGAGAAGTCCTCTGATATGTGCTCGCTTTAAAAGACAAATCCCCCTTTCCCTGGCAGTTCTCCTGTCTTGCACGTAGTGGTTCCAAGTTGCTAATGCTCCCTGCTTCAGTCGCAAACAGAGCTGAGCTTCCTGACGTTGTCTTTGAATTGTATTGCGACGCCATCTTAAAACCCACATCTCCAATGCTTTCCTGTTAAACACGTTGCAAAATTGTACCCTGTATTATGTACATATTGTGGAAACATTTGAAAGGCATGACTCAATTGTGAATTTGGTTAGGTAGGTACTTTAATAAAAAATGTGAATATCTCTTATTTAGGATTATGAGGTTACAAGTAAGTTAAAGAATAATTTCTGTAATAATACAAAACTTACGATAATGTTATGTGTTTGGCATGGTTTTCAGCCCGTTGCATTAGTAACCTATGTGACCATTGCACCCAGCATGACTGTAACAGCGCCTTCTTTCTAAACTCTATACTACGACTATGATCCCGTACTCTCTCAGCCTTACTGATCCAAACATTCTGTTTCCATGACAGCAACACTCTATGCAAAAGCTGACACCTAGGGAGGAAATCAGGATAATTTGTAGTGATATTTTTTGAGGAAGGGGGTGATGTTGTAGTGGCAAGGAAAGCAGGGTGTGATAATATATCAGGAAGGAAGGAATCGGCCTGTCTGGGATAATATGAACAACAATGGGCATCATGATTTAGGAACTCATATCTTTGTTTAATTAGTACTTTGGGTGATCTCTCCAACATTGAAACAACAATGGACTTTCAACAGAGCTTTACATATTATTAGTAAGTCTATGCTACAATGTTACAGTGTTCTAGAAAACATGTGCTATTCTACTTATAATCCCATTACTTTGGCTCAATGGTGAGTCAATATTTTATATTATACATGTCCAGGGTGGTCCAAAAAATGGGACACTCTTTCTTTTCAAAAATATAACAAAATGTACAGCAGCTATAATATACAGATTAATATAGGCAAATCTACTCACCTGCAATGCTCTTTGGCTATTTGATGCTTTTCAAATACAGTTTTCATTTGGCAGAATGTTTTTGTGGTCAGGTTATTTATATAGTTGACTCTGAAATGGCATTAATGTATTCACTAATTCACTGTTTATAAAAATATATTTGTGTCTAGCTGATTTACAAAGCTTTTGAGTGGACAAAATGTTCACACGATTGATTGTAAGATAGAATATTTGAATAAAAAAATATTGTTACATGATAAGACATCTTAAGAACATGGTAGACATACATACCTGGCCACTTCTTTCTGTCGTTTGTGCACAATGGCTTGCATTGTGTACGCCCTCCAGGCCTGCCACCCCTTTGTCAACATAGACACTCTGAAAGTGACGATTTGTAGATAACAAGTGTGACTATTGGCTTTTCATGTGCATCATACGTCAACTATAGTAGCAACTGAATTGAAATTAAAGACATAATGAAATTTTCAAAATATTCCTATGATTCTTGTCTCTTACTTGTGATGCAGAGCAGCCATGCTGTATTTCTGTTGTGTTTTGTACAAGTCCTTCCACTGACAGTACGCCCTGCTCAACACTAATTTGTTGGCTGCACCTTCAAGCAATCGTTCTCGCTGCATCGCTAACTTAAAGTGCTGCCACCTATCAAATGTTGACCTCAGGATAACTTGATGACGTTTCTCTGTTTTCTCCTTCCACTGTAAGCAAAATGGTTGTGAATTATCATTTAGAAATTCTATATGATATGATGTAAATATATATCATATGCAGAGTCGAGCCTTTAAATATCCATGAGGTGAGGTCTTTAGAAAATTTGACTTTACCTGGAATATAAACAACAAAATACACAATCTGACTTTTATGTAATTATATTAGTACTCACCATGTAAAAAAATTTCTCTTTTAGAACATGTTGTCTTTCTTGATCCAAACTCTCATACAATGCCTTTGTTTTCTGTACAGCCCACTTCAAGCCATCAAAGCCCTTCCTAAGGGCATTGAGCCTATAGAGGGCAAGGGCTTCGAGGACTCTAGTTCGCCTAGCCTTAGCCCTCCAGAGGTAGAAATAATGAGCAAGTAACTGCTGACGACGCACCTCCTTCGCCCTTGAATTAAAAAAAAAATCGTTAATAGTACTAATTAAGGAGAAAATAATTTCTCTCTGTACAATGGCAGAATCCCAATTCTTTAATCTTCATGTTAAAAACCTTGAATTGTGAACACCTGCCAATCTGAACACTTTTGGCTTGTTTGGCTTTCATTTAGATAGTTTATACTATATACACATTGCTAGTCTATGAAGCATATTACACAAGGCAGCTTTACATCATTGTTTATAAATATGAAAAGTGAATGTTCAGCCAAATTATAAACTTACATATTCTGCATGTGTTCATGGTGAAGTCTGTCTGTCCTTATGCATCTCACATTGGTAAGCCACCTCCTGAACCAGCGAGCCTGAAACACACAAACATTATTTGGCATGAAATTAAGAGCAGCGTAGGAAGAATGTCACCACCTGGACTCCATCCAAAAAAAGTTGGGAGGCTTATAACAATATATTACCATTTGTGGTGGTGACATAACAAATGATTTCAGACACCATCAGTTATATCTTGGATTGTGAATATTTCTGACATTAGAGACAAGTGTATCTTCTTTCGGTCCATCCATCATCTAAGAAAAGTATATGCAATATAAGAACTTCTCAAGCAGAACATATCCTGTATTGCACTTCAAATCATCTAATAAAGTTTTTATCGTGTGATCTTAGGCCGACACATTTTACTCAGGAGATAATCCCTGAGAATTATTCTGTATTCTCTGTATTGCTACTGAGATTGTCCCCGCCTCCGTACCAATATTTTCTGTATTGCTATGTAGATGATCAATGGGGACAATCTCAGTAGCACTAGATTGGTACAGCACAAGAACTGACCAATCAAAGGGCTTCATTATACAGATCATACGATAATGATAATTATTGTCTATCAGAATCTTTTGATATGGAGGCTATAATAATCAACCAAATGTACTTTTTCAAAAATGTTAACAGATATGGGGCTACCGAGTATTTAAACTTGATACTGAAAGAGTATATCTAAGGGGAACCTATGGATATAAATAACTTCTGAAGCCCTATATATATATGAGTATAATTATTTTGAGACTAATTTCATCAAATGATAATATCAAGTCAATTTCCAACCCTTTACCCTGTAATACAAAATGTGAAACACTCATCACATCATATTACCAAGTTGGCAGACTTGCCAATACAATAGGTAGATTATCTTTAAAGGCATCTAGTCTATTGAAGCATCAATCAATGTCAGAACACATATATATTACACATGTTACAAGGTGCATTATTATTATACAATATACATATACAATATTACCATGCTGTTTTACAACAAAGGCATATAATATAATACAAATCCACTGCTCTTGTGGCCAAGCCAGGATATTCATTAGATTAGAACAAAGCCACTGTACTGGTCAATGTCAACTGTATGAGATTATCATATCAAATACAATGGTCACGAGGCATTCAAATTGGGCCATGTATAAATCTAGGCACACGCATTGACCTCAAATCAACAAACAAGAGTTCCCAAAATTGAAATTTATTAATTGTGTGTCATATATCATTATTTACTTAATTTAATAAGGTAAAATGGAAGAAAGGATTTTCAAAATTTTCAACAATAGGGGAATCTAATTAAGTCTTCCTGAATAGGAATTTCAGTTAACAATGGCAAAGAAAATGTTGGCAAAACAAGGTCTGAACTTTGTATGAAAACAATTTTTATAAGGGGATATTCCCTAAGTCCATAAGTTCATAAAAATTACATTTTTATTTGAAGTCTAAAATATCAATTCAACAATTAATGCACACGGTTTATACATTGGTGACAAAGGTATAAAAAGGCATATCTGCAGTGTAGTTATAATACATTGAATACCAGTATGTGTATTGCAATATTGTGTGTATTCTGATTTATGAGAATGCTTGAGAGGGATAACACAAGCTGTTCTCCATGAGATTTCAATCCCTCTAAAGAGGCTAAGGATCCCACAATGTATCATGTGTTATCCAATCTAAAAAGTAATGCCTTGGTCACATTTGCTCCGATTTTCACTACGGCGCCAGGCCGATTGAGTATTTTGAGCAAATATTGAGCAAAACACTCAATCTTCCGGGCGCCGGCCGATGGATCGGAGCAAATGTGACCCAGGCATTATGCAGGTTGGAAACAGTAGAGTTCCCCAGGTAAAATTCTAAGGATTAAGAATACAGAATTCCTGTCATTACCTTATGAAAGTTCAGAATTCCACCATTACATTTTATTACTGTGACATTGTTATATCCATGGTTATAATAATTAATAATTAAAAAATCTATGGAAAAATCATAATTTTAAAAGTATTGAGTAATTGATTTACATGTAACCCTGTATTTACAGGGAGTGCATATTATCTTATCAGAAGAGGTTTTTATTTTTATCTATCTATCTATTGGCTTCAACAAAACCTTTCTGCACTACTGTTCTATACTAGAAACGTGTGGAAATTATTCTATAATTTACTGTTATGAACATCATGAAGAGACATCTGTGACATGATAATTACAATAGTTGTGAAGCAAATAGTTCCATGAAATTACTAAATTATTAGATGCTTCACCCTGACAGACAATGCATCATTAGGGTGTTACAAAGTATTATTCGGGTGTTACAATGTATTATTAGGGTGTCGTCTTTACGGATCTGGGATCTTTAGGACAAAGTCATTTAGAAGAAACAAAATAATACTAGATTATTTAACCTGATTTAATGGGAGTGTGATTAAAACCAATCAGATTTATACGTTTGTAAATTCATTTGGTGGATGATAAAAATTTGTGAAAACAACATTTTCTGTATTTCTCAAGCATCTTTGAATAACATGTGTTGTCTAATTAAGCCATAATTAATCATTTGATTGGCACTCAAATATGAATGTTAGTGACCCTATTCCAGGACCATAATCAGCATTGCTGCTGAAGCAGTGAACACCTGTTATATTTTCTAAGAAACATTTCAAGCCTACGCTCACTCGTGCAGATATCATATCCATTTGTGGATAAAAATCATATCACTCATAAATCATAGGATATCCTCTATTTATTTCATAAGAATTTAACACATATTCATACATTATATCTATACCTAATTTATAGTGACACTTTGGGTGACAGATCCTTTTTAAGTTGAAAAACATTGTTCATGGAGATAATGAGTTCACTGCATCTAAAATAAGAGTATACCACTTGTTCTATTGCTTTGATATTTTCAGAAAATGTCTTCAAGTCTATTGATAGTATAAGCTACATATCATTATGAATTAAAAATATTTCAGGTTATTATAAGGAAGAGGATTACAGCTACTGACCCTTTAAGATGATTACATTCCAGAATGAAACTTGGCTACATTCTCACAACAGGCTAATCCTGACTTTCAGAGGATGAATAAATCGCATTATTTGCTTGATTATTTCTATAAAAATAGTTATGTTCCCAAATTTAAGAATTACGATGATGTAAAAACATTAAGCTAAATGCTAAACTTTGAACACAAAATGCCAAGTTTGAATACAAAAGGTGAGCTGACATGTGTAATGAGTTGGCAAGGTTTCTAATTTGACTGTACTATTATTGTTATAATTGGATTATGCCTTATATTTATTTTAGGGTTTGAATCTCATTAAAATATGAACCTCAAGGTCGAATTTTCATTTTCACATTTGCAGTTCATCTTTTAAGTTACCTCTATGAGTAGATTTCCAGTTTTACGCAAATGCATACTCACACACTCATATGAGTAATTGATAATATACTCAACTTGAGTAAATATTCACTCACCTTGAGTATGATATTCTGTCTTGTGAGTGGGTCAGCATTGTGTAGGAGCTCAATTAGTCTCATGGCCCACAAAGCTGAGGACATTTTCTCCATACCAGGGCTTCTCCTGAAGTAAAAATAATTAAGGTTTTATGAAAGCCTTAGCCATTATGCCATCTTCGTTCACTCGGCTCCCATCTGTGAACGCAGTCGATGAACGCAGTGAAGACAGAACGTGCGAAGATGCCATTATGCAGGGTGACCCAAAAAATTTGACTTCCAGTATACTTGATTGAATAACTTTATTATGCAAGATAGAGTCTCCTTTTCCTTATTTGTCAAAAGTTAGTTCAATTAATGTATAAACACTTTCTAGAATTCTACATAAATGTGGAAGAGTAGGAGACTCTAGCATGGATAAAAGTTTTATATTTGTATATGGTGTATTCCTTGTCAGCCTATTGAGCACTTTCACTTACAAGTGTTTTTCTCATTCTTTGTTCAATTTCACAGATATCAGGGAGGGTAAGTTACGTGTTTTTAAGATAACCTGTACGTGAGTGTGTAATATTTTAACGACCAAGGATGACTGCCACGCTCTCAATTCACTTTTCTAGGGACCTAATTAGAATTATTTTCCATATACCTCAATCAGCCAAGAAAACATTACAAATGGGAGAACCAATCCACAGAGTACCATAATTCTACATGTCCATGTTTAAGTTTTTAAAAAAATGTGTGTCTCAACCTCCCTAATAGCTCAATTGCTGCAAATGGTTCATGTTATCCACAAACAGGGTGCATTTCAATCATTCCAAATCAATAAGATTAAGAAACTAGTTAAGAGTGTACAGTCTGGAAGTAAATGTACAATACATAACCACTGATTATCTTTCCAAATTCCTGAATCGTAATATTTTCTTGTAGAATAGTTAACATTTCATTTTCTTTTGACAAACATTGGGTGGGAGCCAAATAACAAATGGCTTTTTATTTTAAGTATCAAAATGGCTGGGATTCAATAGTCTCCAACCCTCCAGGTCAACTGAACATAAATATTGACCGAAGTGTACAATTCAATCAATTGGTTGATACTGTTGTAAAGGGAGTGTTGTCTGGTGTTTTTCAAGAGGAATGTGTAAGTACAAGCGCCAAAATGGAAGACCAAAGAGTAACAAGGCATGCAACATGCCAAAATGTCACATTTGTTACAAATATCGAACACCAACTGCTGAATGCCAAACACTGTGCACAAAAAGTTGGAAACACCACTTCTGGTAGTGAGATAATAAATACACCAAAATATGGTTTCAAAAATAAACAGTTAACAGTCAATGTCTAACGACCCCTCCTCACCATATAAAAGGTGGAAATTAGAGAAAAGGACCATCGTATTTTCTCACTATATGTGCATTTACTTACTTGTATTTTGATTCCAGGTAGTTATCATCTCTACTGGGAATATCATCATACTTCTTGTGATATCTTTGTGGGCTCTGAAATAGTGGAAAAATAATTTTAAGATGTGGTCTCAAAGTTTATTTTTTTTATTCATTTATTTCATCCACCATATTTGATGTGTTCAAATAAAAATTTCACATTGCAGAATTTCAAAATACATTGTACATTGTATGTTATATCAGTATAAGCATATTGCAATTTCAGATATTATTCTGAAATATATCAATACATGCAAATATACAAATAGGCATACACTCTAATTTTCCAGAAAAAATAAAATTTCTTTAAAAAAGTACTCATATATAATATACTATAAATCTATTGTTTATCAGCAAAATATCTCTATGATAAAACAAATTGAATTTTTTTCAAAAAAAATTTCATTTCAGATTGTATATAACCTAGGGATAAACCAAATATCACATCATTTCTTGTGATATTTGATATCAACTCATTGGATATTCTGCATTTACAAATCTTGCTCTCACTTTTTGAGATGCATAGCACAAAACACACATAGCTTCCTATTTCTTTTCATTAGCAATATGACAATACACTTGTGGTGATGTCTATCAATCAACATATTATTTGATGTAAGCCTATACCAGTTGGATAAAGCATGTTTGGATTACTGATGGGGTTTAGATATCAAATATCATTAGTTTAAACTTACCATAAAAATAACAAAAAACACTAAAAATCAGTTAGATTTGTGTTTATTTTGATTGATTTTCTGAATCAAATGTAACTTGAATTTAAATATGAAACTTTGAAACCTGAACTCTCTGAAATTTAAACAAAAAGTGGAAGAAATTCGGTACTCAAGGATAACAGGTTTTTTTTGATGAAGATCATATTTTCTTTCTTAAAGATGCATGGCTATAAATACACATACTCTCACCAGGGTATTTTTGAAGAGTTTTCTGTTATTTTTAGCATAACATTTAACATTTTTTATTTTCATGGAATTTTTGAAACTTTAAGGAGCATTGAATTATTGGAAGCCACAGATATCTCTCTTTATTGGGAACCCTGATATATTTTATGACTGACATGAACAATCAATGATCATTATTACCAAGGTCAGCATCTAATAGACTATTAATGGATATAAACAGATAACATTAACAGATACGGAATGATATATAAGTCAGAAATTAATAATTTGTACAAATCTTCACGAGACTAGATCTAAATTAAAGCCGTAGCAACACTAACGTCACAATACCTTTAATTAGGCTTCTTATCCAGTGCATGCAGGATCTTTCATTTGACAAGACATTAATTAAATGTAATATTAGGATACAAGATGAGATGTTGTGAGTACAAATCATGTACAATGTATAAATATAGAGGATTGTTATCTCTTAAGTCTGAACCAGGACCTCTATTAAAATCCCCACCCCCAAGTTTTAATTTCCAAGAGACTGGCATCTTAGAAGGAAGCTTGGACAAGATCCTCTCAATATTTTCTCAATTATCATTTTCTAACATGTATGCAGTTCTAGATAGAGTATATCCATGTACATGTAGTTTGAAATCAAATACAATGAGATACCAAAAACATGGTCATCTTAAATCCAATAAATATGGCAAGATTTATGCAAAACTACAATACAGAGTGTGTATATTTGTTTCATGGTAAAATATAAAAATCAAGTGGGTTATTTTGTATTCTTCTAAAAAAAATCAAATGTGATGGTTGGTCATTTATATGGTATTAAATTCCTTTAACTTAAGGTAGGTGAACCTTTAAATTACACAAGATGTTTTAACTTAGTATTTACCTTATGCATTAGTTTTTAGTTTGACTTCCCCTCTTAAAAGAGAGCTTCGTCTGTACTCAGGGTATGTAACCATACACGTTAAAGTTCTGATTTAGTCATTAATCTTTTAGTACTTCTTTGAGATATTTTGGAGTAGAGTACATTAACTAGAATTGGTCGGAATTTATATCTGAGCAAATATTTGAGCATAAGATTTATTCAAAAGACTGCATATAATTCTTAAACGATAAGAGCAGACTTATGCAATTAACCATTAAATATTATTATTTAATATGGCATTATCAAAAATTCACTTGAAAAATCAAGGACATTTAAAGCTTTAGATTGGAACACTCCTTACGTAAAGTGTTTTGATTTAGAATTGCGAACTACTCTTTAGACACAATGGATTTTAATTGAATCATTTAGCCTGGATTATTATTTTATTATTGTTCAAGATTAAGTAAGAAGTTGCAAAGAGTAGGGTTACCTCACAACTCTGAATGTTTTACTATGAACATCAGATTTGGAAGTCAAAATCACCTCATTTCAGCACCACTGATTTAAAAATTCAAACTTTCCAATGGTATTTTATAAAAATGATGTAGTATAGCTGTGTTTTCTTAGAACTGAAGCAATTTCCTGAATTCCTGAATGTCTGTTCTTTCTGCTTCATGAGGGAATACACGTAATACTATTCCAAACATATAAAATACAATGTCAATAACGCTTGGCCCCACAAAGCAGAATCAATTGAAACTTTTTTGAAAAGAGCAACAATGAAAATAAATGTTCAACTTGAACTTCTAAAAATAGCAAATAATTCATTTTTGAATGAATCAGTAAAATGGTATTGTTATTTTTGTCTTGAAGACAAGAACACTGCACAAGAGGAATGCAAGAATAGTAATTGGTAGACCTTGGTAGACAAATTGGTATTTTCTTAACAACAGTCTATGGTACCTAGATATTTGTAGTGTCTGTCAAGTAATCCAATAATACATAGTTCACCTCTTAAGCAAATACAGGTCTGACAATCGAAAACAAATGTATAAACATAAATCTAAGATCAAGAAATAAGTCAAACTGGTTTTAAGTTTGTGCTATCTGTAATATGGAAGCTGTTCCCTATATTAGCAGTAGGTAATAGGCAGCAATTTGACAAAGGTTTTTACAAAACTTGGGAGGATGAGACCTAAATATGTTTGTATTTTGATGAACTAATGGTGATCAGGCCCATAGGCAGAGGGGCCGGAGTTCATCCAAAAATTCGTACAAAATCATACAGTTTTCACTATTCCGAGCACCTTTCAAGTAATTTTGGGCCAAAACTGTCAAATGTAACCCCCCTGAAATATTTTGAAAAGTGAACACACCTTGAGAGAAGCTGTCTATGGGCCTGGTTATAAAATCTGAAGATATATAAAGGCTAGATGAAGGAAATGTCTTACTGTGAAATGGTTTGAAGAGTTTGAATCATCAAGTTGTATTGTATAAGAGTCCTCCATATTGGCCTTGATAGACTGGATGGTGAAGAGGCTGTTGTCAAGGTCAAGTTGACCCACCATCTGGTCAATGGAGTGAGACTGTGTACGTGTGAAGTTGGGAGAGTATGTTCTAGGGCCTACAGGTGAGCTAGCCATGTAATGCTCTGAGGAGTGTGCCCTAGTTCTTCGGGAAACCCGTCTCCCAGAATACATTCCAAGATACTTTTTCCCAGTGGGTGACAAAGGTTCATAAGCCTCAGTTTCATCATGTGATACTTTAATATGGGATTGCAGTTCAAGTGATCTATTGAGCAATGAATCCAAATCATCATCTTCACTGTCACTACTTGTGTATGGGTAACTATTAGGTGCTGGGTAAAGATCATGGGTGGCAGGGTTTCCACTCACCGAATCATATTTAGTTGCAGCTGTTAGTGGATAAACTCCTGTAGATGTTGCTGGATATGTCCCTACAGCTGTTACAGGATTTCCTTTTACTAAAGAGGTTCCTGATTTGAGCGTTTGATCATAGTTCTGTTTGGGTTCATTGTATTGTATTTCTGCGAGTCTCATTCTAGAATTACTTTGCTTGTCCATATTCCCTGATTTAAAAGGTGTCCTCCCCATAGATTTTGCACCAATGTCAAGGTCATATGACCTGAGTGTGCTTGAGCTGAGTTGTCTAATGGGTGAGGTCTGAGCATTCTTTGATGTCTTGCATATATCTGGGCTTGTCTGACACCCAGTTGATTCCTTTAAATCATCAACGCTCATAATTTGTGGCACCTGATTTGAATTATCCATATTTGGCATGTATGCAGTTCTAGACTGAGTATATTCATAAGTTTGTAAAGGTAGGGACTGAGCAAGTCTATGTTCATTTAGATGTGATGTATGAAGACTCTGATCATTGTATGTGGTCAAAGAGTGATCACCATCGCCATTTTGGCTTGTGTGATTCTGACGTGACGTGTAATGAGAACCTAAAGTCTTTGTGCTTGTTTTACTTTTGTTACAATCTGTTAGCTGCTTGTCTAGTTCCAAGAGCTGACTGTCAATTTCCTGCAGTCTTATCCGATGCTTACTCAGCTCTAACGATGAGTTATTTGAGTCTGTTGAGTATACCCCCGAATTGTTTACATCATTGCATGAGGGTGCTATTTGAGTATTATAACTATTATATGAACTGTTTCCCATTTGGGAATTTGGCATTTTTTCGAAGTATCCATTTCCAGAATTCAATGTACTAGTCCTCTGATTTCCATAAAAATTATCTCCAAATGATGATCCATGTAACAAATACGAATCATCTTTCTGTTGATTTAAATATCTTACTGTCCCTGAGGACATGTCATTGGCTGATGCGTAATCCCAAGACATGGTTTCTAATACTGGAGTTTCAGCTTTGCTCCTCTTATATACACCTAATTGGTTACCATGGTAACTTGATTGTCGCTGAATCTGGTTTTCATCATCTGAAAATACATCACCACAAATTAAAGCATGTATTACTATCATATGTAATATGACTTTTTCTGATATAGATAATGGAATATCCGAATCAATTTCTACACGATTAATTGGCAAACCTTGTCATGCAAATATCAACCATTAAAACTATAGTTGATGATTTCGATACTACACAATTATCTATAATGTACATTTGCATCTCGATTTATATCTATGAGCATCTGATTCTACAAATATCGACAGATCATATTTGCATTATGAACAAAAATGACATGTTCTATTATAAAGTTGATTGATATGAAAAAATTTAATGCATCATTTAACACAAACAGAAAAATTCATACAGGTACTTTATATTCCTGTTTTAATATTTCTATAACAATGACTAATATAAGACATTTTTTTAGTTAAATCTCTTGATGATATCACCTTGCAAAAATACAGTATCTTAAAATTGTTGCAAATAAATCTCTATTATAGCAGACATATGCTAAACTAAACATGCCCATCTTCATGTAGTTTGTCTTTATACAGAAAACAAGTAACAAGTACTGCATTTGATTTATGAAACCAATTTGCCTCCAAAGCCAACAAGATATGACTCATCTCATTTTTGTAATTATCTCAGGTAAACTCAGGTGTACTCGGGAGTAAATGACAAAATATATTAGTCTCATCAGCTTATAGGCATACACCAGGTTAAGGCAGTGTATTAAAAGAAAATTAGATTTTTGCAAGTGACAGAAACATTGCGATAATACTATGATGCGCATCATCTGTTGCTGATAACAAAATTGTGCTGCATGCTATATCAATACTGAATAATTTCTAGATGCTGGGACCTTATTACATGCAAGTCTTATGAACCACTACAGTATAGTGCACAGAATTCTTAACTTTATTTATGAACCATGCACTAAACCGTAAGATTATCAAACTTTAAGCAAATCTATACACTAAACCAAACAAACATTCTGGTTTATCAGACTTCTCCTGCTTGCTCTGGTTCAAGACAAAGGGGGCACAGGTATCACAATACCAACCCAAGGCAATGATACAGTCTGGTGCTCAGTGCCAATTAAATAACATTTAAAGAATGGTATCCCCTGCAGATATGCATAAGACTGAACAACAAAAATGGAAATGGTGAATATTGTATATGTCAATGTGTAAGTGTATTGGGCATGCAACAATATATAATGTGCCTGATTCTACCACACCTGAGCGCTGCAGAGAAACGCTGCATTTCCAAGAATTCAATTTTGCTTCTTTAAAAGAGAGTTTCATCTGCCTCTAATTACTAAGACTCAGTGTAAAGGGACTCTAACATGAAAGCAAAGGCTAATTATTAATATGAGAAGTCACATAGAGCAGAAGCCTGCTATCATTTCCTTCACAGCAATAGACAGCAAATTACAGCTACAGGTGCTTCATTAAGAAATAATAAGACCCAATTGGAAAGAGAGCTAGTAAGAGTGAAATTAATAATCAGCTTGAACCTGAGTCCCATTAGTGTCATGATATCTTCTTTGCTTAAAGTGGATCTGCATAATGAGAAATTAAATGAAATTGTCATGGTTATAATCAACAATAATTGATTAAATCAAAAAAGGTATTTTTTTACGTTATTATGTAGAGATTCAAATATTGTGTCGAAAAAAAAGAGTAAAAATCAAAATAGTTCAGTATTGATTGATAATTGCATTCTCCAAATCTTTTGTGTAAGTAAAAATCTCTGATTACACATCTCCCAGGAAATATATTAATATCTATTACCCAGGGTTCCTGTACCTGCATGTAACTCATTTAGAATGTTGACTACAAATGCGTCTGTTTAAAGGTGAAAAAAATACAGGAAACCTGTCTTAGTGAACACCTCTCTCTAGAGAACACCTGTCTCTATAGAGGACACCCTTCCTCCACACATATTCTCTTGACTTCTGTATAAATGACCCTCTCTGTAGTGAACACCTACCAATGATGAATGGTTTTTCTTGGCAAAAAATGTTCAATATACACAGGTTTTACTGTAGTTCATGATCTTTACCACATTAAATTTGCATTGACAGAGTCACTTTCATAAATCTTACTTTTGCATTCAACTGGCGTTGCTTCATAAAAGAGAACTTCATCTGCAGTTAGTTAGTTACAAGACTCTGTACTCATGGTAAAAAATAGGTTATTTCATGTGGTTTGCATCATTTACGAATCATAGTTCTAGCCAATTTTTTCAATTACACCATTGCATCATTCACAAGTGCTTATTATATGCTATGTTATTAGTTTTGTTCTCTCTGCATAGAATATACTTACATGTCCAAAATATCACTATTTCTCCTTTCTTCTCATAAATTGTTAATAATCTTCACATTCTGTTTTACATCTAATGCAGGGCAATGCTCTAAGGTGGTGTGAGATGATCGTTAGAATTTTAAACTTCAGAATTATCATTTGAATTAATCCCAAATATTGATTCTTTAAATCTAAAATAAACATACAATACAACTAAAGGTATCTAAAAGTTGATAAAACAACAACAGAAGCTTAATATCCAACAACACAACAAACAATCTCAAATTCAATTTTAAATCCCTATCTTTGAATTTTTCATTACTTATCTCCAAGCCTACATGTGTTATCTTTGCTTTAGTCATTAAGTCCCATGATTCAAGATTCTCCAAGCATATGATTTTGCTTCTTAAAAGAGAGCTTCATCTGATATCTAACTTAATTTACAAAGCTCTGACACTTACAGGGTAAGAGAAAGAACATGTATGAATGTATTGAATCAGTCTGTTCATCCTGGAACTCACCAACTACTGTGTCTAACTTCTCATCATCCAACTCCTATCATTTTATAATTATTATTTCTTGGCCACAATCTCACTTAAATACATTTTGTACAATGTTTCAAAATTGCTTAAATAAATTTTCATGACCAAAGTAAGTTTACAATCCATTTTTATATTAATCCTCTTTCTTCTTGGTATATGACTAAATAAAAAAATTCAAAGAAAGTTTATGTATTCCAGAAGCATCGTAATAGGCCTTTAGAATTTAAAAAATCTTTGCAAATGAGATGTCGTATATTTAGTTCTGATTGTATATATTCATAAATCCAGTTTTACTTTCTTTGTGTCTTGGAATCTATCAATGTTACTTAAAACCAATCATTGAATCTACCAATTCTACTACTAATTCTCCTCATCTCTGATCTCAACTTTCCTGTATATCCATAAATAGCGACTGGGAGAAAATCCTATTAATGCAATGCATAGTAGAGTACACAATACACAAATACAGTGCTAAGTATTACAATAGATCTTTGAAGTCAAGATCTCCTGTTCAATCCCAGAAACTCGACCTTGTATGCCTTAAACATTATGTTTTGAGAGTAGCCCTGAGACCAAGGGGCTAGAAGTAAAATACTACACTCTGGAAATTTGTAGAATGGAATAATTGTTTTGATATGATCTTGATTATGATTATGACCTCGGCAAGAAACTTTAATGGGGGTTTGTGACACCCATTCTATTAGGCTTCTGATTGGAAGTGGTGAATATTTATTGCTGTTATAATATGGAAAAATGATAATGTCCCTTTCTATTGAAAATTAACAAGCAGATTTTTACAAGAGGAGTCTGAAAATTTAAAAGAAAACTCAAAGGGAGGAGGAGTGTGTGACCTGAAAATAAATCAATCCATAATGGATCATGTAGGTTTTAGTTGATCTGTGTCCATTCTAAGCAAATTTATTTTTGAATGCCAGAGTTTAATGCAAATTGAATTTTCCGATTACAATTCCTCTTTACCTACGGGATCCTATTTGTTCAACAGTAGGGTTGTAATAATACAAAGTGTAGTAAGAAAATGGCACTTTACATTACTACTTGTTTTCTTTGGCTGCCGCTATCAAAAGTCGAGATTTATTACATTATAGATCACTTTGAAGAATTGTTTACTAAAGGAAGTCATACAAATGACATACACCGTACCAGACAATAGCTCAATGGATTTATACAGTAAAAGGTAAAATAGAAATAAAACAAGTTATAAAAAGTCTATAGGGCAATACAAAATATCAGAGCTTGTGACCCAAAACTAGATCTTGAAATCAGCTGTGAAGAATTTTTCTATTTTCTATTTTTGATATTGCGGGTACCAATCTCTCCAAAAATACATCTACCACAAGTGTATATTTAAGAAATGATCATCTTCACATGATACATACAACCAAAATCTAATAAAGCATGCTGTTTCTTGAATTAAAGGTATTGGTAAAATATAAATCTGTCGTGTCCAAGTAATAAAATGTATCCATACTCTAGAAATCTTAGCAACATCAAATAATAGGTCAAGTAGATGCCTAACTGTAGTAGCAAAATACTCCAAACGATATGATGAATAGAAAAAACGGTTAGTTCTTTTTTGTTTGTGGTTTTGAAGTGGTCTGAACTTTTAATCCAGGATAAAAAGCAATTGGTTGTTAACTGAAAGAAGAAAAGACTTCAAATTGTCAAGTTGCAATGAGTTACAACCTTTCTCTGATATCTGGATATTGATATAATAGTAAAACCTTGTTATATGTCAATGCACGAAAACAATTGAATAAAATAAAAAATAGTTCTTAATTCTATTAAATGTCAATTGTCAAATTTCTTTATTAGTTTTGAATCAAATTTCATACTAAAAGTAAATATTTCATGTTATGTTTATTGTTACAAGTCTGGTGTTCTAAAACTTTGAAAATATCTCAAGGTTTTTCACCCCGAGGAACCATGGCCTTGGCCTTTGTAAAGCATAACCTATATGGATACCCATGGGCATTCACCCATGGGATATCTAATGACTTTACTGTGGCCTTGACGTTTGTAAATCATAATCTAAAAGGATATCTTGTAAAGACCTATACCTATAGAAATGATGGATATCTGATCCATGTATACCTCTACTTACCCTTTACTTCTTTAAAAGAGAGGTCCATCTAACTTTTATACTAGGCTCTGACATTTAGCATATTCTTTGAACAATAGTAATTATAAAATCAGTAGTAACAGATTAGCATTCCAGTATTCTGATTTATCGTATGATATGTACTATGAAGCCTTCTGATTGGTCAGTTCTTGTGCTGTACCAATCTGTATTGCTACTGAGATTGTCCCCGTTGATCATCTCCGTCGCAGTACAGAAAAATATTGGTACGGAGGGGACAATCTCAGTAGCAATACAGAGGATCACACGATAAAAACATTATTAAATGATTTGAAGTGCAATACAGGGTATATTCTGCTCTCGATATTCTGTATTGACACTCGACTTCGTCTCGTTCCAATACGGAATTTCTCGAGCAGAATATATCCTTCAAATCATTCAATAACTTATAACACTACTGACTTTATATAACACAAATGTTTATAAATTATAGAATATCATTTTGGTGTGCTATAACAATAAGAAAACATAGTTATTTATAATTCGTTAATGAAGCTCTATTATTAAAGGACAAGTTAACAAAATGTAATGATTTCAAGCTCAGCTATTTTTATCCCAGGATGGCCCTCTTTTATACAACAAAATTATTATATGTCTTGTCAGATGGTATAATTTTGGAGCATATTACTTGTCAATTACGCAACTGGACATCTCTCAATTTTGAATATTTTTTTAGTTTATGGAAAATAACTCCAAAGTAACCTAAATATGACAAGTTACAAATATATCATTTGGCAAAAGCTCTCTGAAGTACTGTACTGTACAAGGTATACCTGTTTGGTCAAACAAAGAAATTGGTTGAAGAGCTCTATCCATGGCGACTAATTGGTACAAGGGCCAGAACATGTTTCTTAGTATTGTCATTAATAAGAACAAAGAATACATTCACTTAAAATACCATGGTTGATAGGCTTAAGTATAAGCGCTAACTGTCATTTTCTTAGTATCATTTGATTGGTTAGTTTTAATGACACTTCTCTTTTGTGAAATGGATGGTTCCGATTGTATAAAATGTAGAGTATTTAAGGAATTGATGATTTAATTTGGGTTTAATAAATTATTAATACATATATGTTATATATTTTTCTAATTTATTCATCTTCATGTCACCATCACCACAATTGACTTCTGTAATAAATGGCAGATGGTAACATTTTGCATGTTAATGACTTGTTTATACTTTATTCTACACTTAAAACATGGAAACTATCAATCACCAGTCCAACTAGTGTTATTATTGACTAAACGTTTAGAATATTTTCCACTTGAGTCTTTGATATATTTTCCCATGACGTTGAACAGGTTATAGATTTATATCATCAATTCAGCACACATAGCATGTTATATAGTGATAATTATCTGTTTAACTGATCAATTAACATTGACTTATTGGTAAAAATATAGATTTACATTCTATATATATCAGTTATCTCAGATTTATTTCAAACATTTGTAATCCATCTTATCATTCTGATCAACCTCATATTGATTTATCCATATATGAAATCTAGAAAATGAACTCATAAAATGTACATGTACTAACCCTTTCCATTCTAGGGGCATCACTGAATGTTCCAAATGATAAAGATGTGTGAAAATAAGATGACTAAAACACAAGGTATCAAAGTGAGGAACATCAGACTGAATTAATCTGAGATCTTCTAAAGTATTGTACAGCAGTCACATTGCCACATCCTCCAAACATCATTCTGATACTCATCACATCTTTCTGGCTTCAGAAGCTAATAGAAGGCTATGATTTCTCATGATGTCCGATTACAGGGCTTTAGAAATCATCTACTATGTTCCTTCTTTCTTCCCTGGTTAGGAGGATGCCATCACCTTCTCATACTATTACAAATGAAGTTATGTATTTCTCCTGCCACACTCGTGGAGGTTTAAAACAAAAGGAACTTTCCAATCTGATATGAATGATATACCCAATTTTTTAAACTTCCCCCAAAATTCAGAATTGAAAATGGTGAAGACATTGTCATTTGGTATACAGTCTGCAGCCAAAGTCACGATCAAACCAAGCAAATTTGAGCCATTTTTGAAACTGTTCATTTAACACATTAATTTGAACTTTCTTTTTCCTACCATTAGTAGGCTCTTATACCCAGGGAGGGATTATCACACATGGATGAAGAGGACAATATCAATTATGTAAATGGGCATGTAATGAATGATTATAAGTGAGCAATTATTAATTGCTTAACCTCTTGAATACCCAGAGTGACGGATATATCCGTCACAAATGAAATAAGACTGGTGCCCAGAGGGACGAGAAAATCTGTCACAAAATTTTTCACAAAAATTGCTCTCATTTGAACAATTTTCATCCAATTTACACAAAAATTGTTTTAAAACGTGTAGAAATGATCTCTGTCGTCCAAATTTACTAAGCTGAGCATCTAAAGTCGTATAGGTATGTAATAAAATGTCAAAAGGTGGCAAAAAATGAAAAATTCTCTGGTTTCATGCCAATTTTAGAGCCTGGGATTCAAGAGGTTAATCAAACAATCATAACCTGATAATTAATTAAAGATGAAACTTGAAGAAGTTGATATGATGATGAATAGATGGGTTTGTATTTCTTTTGTTTTTGTCAATTTTAAACTAACAAATACCGATTTCAATTGTAAAATAAAATCAAATGAGAATTCTCATGATTATAGTAACCAATTATTAATGAAGTAGATAATATCTTATACATTCTGTATCTTCATGCAATGTTTTGTACAACTGTTTTTGAAAAAGTATGCCACCACCTTAACTCCTAGACCACATCTGGAACCACATCCTAGCACTTGCCAAAACCACCCATAACAAAACAGACATTTGGAAGAAGAAAAAACTGACAGTGCTAAAGATAATTCTCAAACTTTTTAGTTACCTTCAGAGAGAGATGATGCATTGAGAATTGTTGTATTGTTCATCAATGGCGACCTGCTCTGCTTCGGTTTATCTTGGATGAATTGAGGAATATTTTGTTGTTGCTGTTGTCGGGAACATCCTGTGTGTTTATCCTTTGATCTCTGAAATTCATACAAGTTCCAAATAAGCATACAGTAAAATAAACATCAACGTTTATCATTATACCATTTAATAGGTTCACATGGTAAAAAGCCCACTTCTCCAAGATGAGGCAAAAGTAGGAGCCGGGATCAATGGTGTCAATTACAAGCATGGATCTGCAATCCTGCTTAAAATGGACACAAAGTTTGGTTAAGTTGAAAGAATTTCATTCAAAGATTTTTCACAGACAGATGACCCAAAGGAAGGATGGATGAACAGATGAACATATAGGCATTAGATGTGTCTAAAGGCTCACCATCTAAACCAAAAATCTTGAAGAAATGAAGGGCCTGCCAAAAGTACATTCAGAACACTCAGAAACAACTGGTCAATAAAACATTCAATATGTAAACAAACTATTTACTGATACGAATCTATTATGATTGATTTGCTCCTTATAAGCACATGTGGCTTCATTACAACAACAACGTCTCCTATCCTCGAAAATTTCCTTGTAAAATTGGAAACAATATCAGACCTTTTTAGGTATGATAACAAGTTGTTCTTTCCTAGCATTGCACAAGGTTCCACTCTGAAACTAATCACATCTTTCTTGTCTTGGACCATCATTGACTTGAAACTTGACTTGAGAAGGAATGCCTCAGTCATGTTTGATCTAAGGCAACCACATGCTGGCTGTAGTTTCACAAAATCGAGAGAAATATGCAGCATATGAAATAGGGATAAGCACAAGTACATGATGGAGATTTTGTGAAGCTACAGCCACCATACGCCCGCCGTAGAGCAAATGTGACTGAGGCATAACTAAAAATTAAGAGAAGGCTGTGATATCTCACGATGACTGCTTAGTGTTTATACAAACTTCACCAAATGTATACAAACCCTATCTCAATGAATTGGTGACAGCTACTTATTTACTGATGGATGATAGGAGTAGACAGAGCATTGAACTTGTGACTTTCAATTGACAAATCCACAAGAAGAAATTGATAACACTATTAATATACACACACTCATGCTTAATGTCAATATAACGCTACTACTGAGAATTGATTCTAGACAAGCTATTGTGACTGCTTACATAACTTTATGATAATTCTTACAAGTTAATTTCGCTTACTGTAGATTTGAAATTGTATTTCTATGCAATGGCTTTAATATAGATTTCTAGGTAGATAATTATAGGATATCCTATGATTTTGAGGAATATCATTTTTATCTACGAGGTGATATTGATATCTGCACGAGGGAGCGAAGCGAACGAGGGCATATATCAATATCACCGAGTAGATTAAAATGATATTCTGAAAAAATCATAGGATGTTTTTATTATCCTACACTTACAAGGAGTGTACTAAATGTATAATATCATTGCAAAATGAATTCCATATGCCAAATAGAGTCAATTTGGCGGGAAATCAACAAGCGGAGTATATCGTCACAATATCCTCCGCATATTGGGTTTTCGCCGGAGTATATCGTCACGATATCCTCCGCCCGGAGTATATCGTTTCGATATCCTCCGGATATTCATTTTGCCAATAAATATCAAATTTATTTTTTAATGTTATTATACATTTAGTACACTAAGTGTAGGATAATAAAGGCGAAACACCAACAAATATTCGAGGTTAAGTTATATCTATTACCGTCCAGTTGTACCTCATATTACTTCAACTAGAAATCTGGACTTGGGGCCCGGATTTGGGGATAAAGGAAACATTTAGTTTGTCAACAAAGAAAACCATACTTGATTTTGAAGTTTTCAAAAGACATGAACAAAAGTATTATTGCAATGTTTGAATATGAAAATTCTTTAAAAAACATTGTTTGAAATATTTTAACTTTGATTATTTTGCATAATTGATATATTGGATTGTATTTTGAAAATAAATGGGTGAAATAAATAAGAGCCAATATCTAAAAATAGATCTTCATACGCACAGACAGTCAAATAAATATAAGATATAAGAATAGTAGAGGTAGGAGGGTGTACTATTGATTTGTCACCATTAAACATGCATGTAACATTTAAGCAGACAAAATGCAAATGAAATCTAAAGTAAAGGCACTTATGTATATGCATTGAATTTAACTAAGGATTATATTTATTCTATTGAATTTATGATACTTTAGTAAGAGTTACCATGAGAACATAAAGAATGATATGTCATGTCATTTCATAACAGCTATAATATATTTGCAGTAAATCCCATGTTTACCAAAAACCGCTTGCTTTCCAATCTTGGGCAAAAGTAAGGTTCAAAATATCTAATAAAAAACAATGGAAAGTTGTTTAGACTGTAAAAGAAAAGATTCTTTCCATCATTCTAGTCCATACTGCATATGTAATAGCAATGATTGAAAGATGCACATTTCAACACAAAACTCTTCTGCCAATAAAAAAAATAACTTACCTAAAACCATTCCAAAATGATGCTTTATTCTAGTTTGAAATATTAATTCTTTAAACTCACACCTGGAAGCTTGCATGTATGCATTTTCAAGATGAAGAATTCCTGCTTAAAAGTTCCAATTGTAACTTCTGCTGCATTCTTCCAATTAACTTCAAATTTTTTAATTACATGACTCGAACTTCTGCTGTTGTAATATCTTTGTAATTTGTATATTCTAATTTAGAACTGAGTACTCTGAGAAATATTTGCAATTTGACAAATTCCAGCATTGGTTTCACTATTGATCTGAAACCCTCAATTTTCTACTACTAACATCATTTAACCTGTAATAAGCAAGGTGGCACCATAATTACAACACATCTTTAAATGAGGATGAAGGAGAGGGTTTCCTTTGAAAGGTTTCCAATCAGAAGTTCATTAAAGACCTGTGAGACCTTGATTAAACAGAGGAATAACAATGAATGTAATGTTGATTTAAGACAATTGATTCTCTGTTTTCTACAGATTATCAAAACCAGAAACACAAAATTTCACGAGGTAGAAGGAAATAATCTGTATTAAAAACCTATAGAAACATCACAGAAACCTGAAGTAGTAATCAAACATGGGAAAATATCATCTTGAGACATCACAGAATAGCCATAATCTATCCATTTTCTCTCTGGAAACAATTCCGGTTGGTATTGAAGATGTGAAATAATGAGTATCGAAATAACAGTCAAAGGAATATGTGCATTTTACAAGAGAAATACCCAAAATAAAATTGATATTTCAATCTCCTATACTTAATCGTGTATCAGCCAAAATGTCAAATTCAATCCTGTATCAAATCCAATCAATTTCTTTTAAAAATACACTTCCTTAGTTTTATAACGTATTGTTGATGTCTGTTTTGATCTCTGTGTGACGAAATCATAATTGTACTTCTTATGGAAAGCAATGACATACTTATTAAATACTGGTCAGGCCCGTAGCTAGGATTTACCAAGGGGGGCGGTTCAGTTTTCAAAAATTTCCAGGGGGGGTTCACATTTGACAATTTTGGCCCAAATATGGCTAAATCACTTGAGAAGTGCTCAAAATAGTGAAAAACTGCATGATTTTGAAAGAATTTTTGGCCAGGGGGGGGGGGGGGGTTCGCAGGGTTCGGGCTAAGAGCCTGCTGTTATAGCTGTATTTGATAGCCAGGAAATAATATTGATTTCGTTGAACTCAGATGATTTCAAATTGACACAAATTATCCTCTGAATAAAATCCACATCCCTTCCCTCTTATTAAATAAATAATATGTCCCTCTTATTAATTATTAAAATATTAAATATGATACATCCTGACATCTTTAGTATACAAACATTGTGCAAAGTATACCAGGCTTTAATATAAGACAAGCACAGTAAATATAGTTAATAATTCATGGTATATAACTGCTTGTAGAATCTATTACACTAATTGGAGAACAAAAGAATGCCTGTTGGAATAATTACAGTATGCACTCCTATTATACTTCATTTAAACTAAAACAATCAAAGTATATTAATCTTAATCATGATGTTTCAATTGTTTTAACTTCACTTAAAGGTGAATTATGGCCAATACAATGTGAAGGTTGAAGATTCAGCATATTACAAAATTCTCTTTTTCATCCCGACAAAACCATTCTGACTTTTCTGACATAGAAGAGCCAGAGCCCACAACAAGAGGAAACCATGTCAAATTAGTCAGGTTTCAGGAAAAATTTGCCAATTGTAAACAAATTGTAAGCTTGATGTAAAATTATGATGACATGAATTTGTTATTAAATGATTTACCAATATAAATTAGTGTAGAAAACAAAGCTAACATTGTTTAATGACCACTTCATTGCTGTTCCAATAAAACATAAAACATATCTGACTTTTATTCTTTCGTAATTGCAAAGTGGCTTTCATTCTTGCAGTTGCATTGGACAATCAGAGATATCTCCTAAACTCTTGAAACTAATGACATGATTTATTTTATCTTTTATAATTTACTTACCTATAAAAATAGATGCCTCATATTCAATGTTGTAAAGGTATAACGATTAGTACTTTTCTAACAATTAAACGCAAGATATCCATAAGTCTTAATCCAGCTGGTCAACTGAGCAAAGTTTAACGTTAAACATTTGTATTTTTCAAATCACGTAGCAATGTGTATTCACACTAGGTTTTGTATTGATAAAAAACGCACATACAAGAATACAATAGAGACATGGGGCACTAAGAGACAAATTGTTTACCAACTCTCTTTACTTTTTTATTTTCTGATAATAAGAGGCAAACGAACGCTGAATGGGGTAGGACCTGAGTATACTGTGGTCTAAGGGCTTAAGTCTTAACTGCTATATTACATCGTCAAATTCTCTTGCCAAAAAAACTGATCAAATAAAAGATGGATTTCGCTAACAATTCTGAATACAAAATAAAGTACCTTGTTGAACAAATAGCAAACAGAAAAAACATTGACCTGTCAATACCAACTTCAGATATAAGTGATATAAAAATAAATTCTGACTAACACTCATGCTCACTTTGGAATTTGTCAAACATTAAATTCCAATTTGAAAAGATTAGGTAATAAAAATATAATGTGTTGACCTTTGTTCGCAAAATCTTTTATAATAGAAATGTTCTTTCGTCCTTATCTTTTGAGTCAACAATTTTGTATATTATACCGATTAGGGGATTTGCTTGAATAGAAATCTGTATTTAATTCATTAAACACATTTCCACTAAATTACATAGAGAACAATTGACCTCAATGATCATTATAATTTACTTGAAAGATTATCATAGTAATGTATGCATGACAGAATAATGTTCGTTATTTTTGAACAGAATTTCACGATTTAGATTTCCTTTATATTTTTGATATTTTATTGGAGAACACCCAGCGATTAAAATTCCCCATAATTAACACCCGTGGCAAGCTTATTAGCATTTTAGACATTTTTGATATTTGCTGATGTTGCATGAAATCAAATCAAATGTTACATACATGTATTAATAATAATCTGATAATTTTCTGAAAAAGCATCAAGGTGAACACATCAACATTTTGAGAATCATATAAAAATATAACGATATGGCTAGTGAACCACAAAGCTCTCAACCCCAAACAAACCACACATTTCATTTTAAGAGAACAAAAGATTATACTGCCTAGGTATGGATGGTAAATTGACTTATAATCAAGTTATCTAGACAATATTAACAGGGGCGTCACCATGATTTTTTTCAATGGGGGTGCATTTACGGGAATGTCTTCATTGTCGTAGCTAATGCACTAATAAATAACTTCTCCACCTCTTTCACCAGAGCTCAGTTCTTCATTCTTCCAAGACATCTTCTCAGCGCCATGAACGAAATCCCTGGGAAGCTCAAAAAGAGGGGTGCGGTCACATCCCCTTCAGACGCCCATGATTAATATTCAATATTAAGGTGGAGGGAAAAGGGAAAAAGTTACAACAACTAATGAACTTTCTTCATGGATTGTTATGGCTATATCACATAATAACAACATGTGCAATGTACATCCATTGTTTGTTATCATCCCCAAAAATTTGAAATATACATTTGAAACTCATCCTGATTCCTGATACTCATCGAATCTTTTTCTTTCATGGTTGAGAAGAAATGAGATGTCACATTGCTTTTGAAGAGCAACCTAGACATTAAACAAAAGCAAAAGTATATCCGACCAGTATGACAACATGCTCAATACACACTATTACAGCCATAAGTTTGGCACTCAAAAAACAAAACGCTCACTAAACTTACCTAAGAAAATCCTAATCTAACGTCAAAGATCATTTTAATCTCCAGGTTGTTCAAGGTCAAACTTTGCATTTTAAATATGCTCTTGAAAATATAAATCCTACTATCAACTATGCTTACTATGTTAAATACGCTCACTTAACTTCCTAATAACCACTACAAAATCTGAGGAATCGAACAGTGAAAATTTAATCCAGTTTTAGAGTTAAATGAGTCAATTTTGTTATTGTAGATCACGATTCAAATCAAAGTACAATTAGATTACTTGTTATGTTTAAAAATGTGATTGCATAAATCTTAACTAAGCAGGTAATCCATTTGAATCTCATTAGCGGGCGTACCCTATTTTTGATATCAAACAATAGAAAAATCGTTGCTCAAAGCCTCGTAAATGATTATAACAGGATTTCTGTGAAACTTACAAGCACTTTAATTATTATATCGCCAACTTACTGGCATGACTGTATTAAACAATGTTAAACTTAGGTAAAGTTGCAGAAAAGTGTAAAGTCTATTATCGCCCAATTTTCTCAGGCGAGTGACCATTTAGAAAACTTGGAAATAGTCCAAGGGAATCAAATATTTCTTTAGAATTCCCAGCCTTGAATTTATCTTCTTAATATTAGATTTCACAAATAAGATATTATTAGAGCATACATGAATATGATCTAAATACTTCAAATGACCTGAGCAAATCATGTTAGTATTAGATTACAATCTACGATTGATCAACCTCAAATTTATGAAAAGTATACTTAAAAGTACACGGATACTTGAGATTGAGATGAGATTAAACCATTTAAAAGGTTCCGCAATGTCAAAACTCATAAGCATTACTTCTTACTACTATACAGAACCTTCTGCATCAGAAAAACTGCTCTCTGATGGATTTTTAGGTGGGTGCAAGCCTATTTTCAAAATCTCATGTGGGTACTGCGTCCACTTGCTTTAATGCTGGGGAGATCACTGCAATACATGCCTTTTGGACAATTTCTTGACCTTCAAAAAGAATCAAATCAAGAACTAACTATACAATACATTTACATGCAAAATGTCACCACCTGCCATTTGTTAAAGATGCCGAAATTCGAACACGAACCACCAAACGCCATCCACAAAAAAGTTAGAGACTATAACAATAGGGCACCAAAAGAAACATGGTCTCATATACAGCAGTTTTTGCCTATTAGGAGACATCTGAATTGATATTTTTAGGTGATTCAGATACAATGCAATCAAGAAATGTACTATTGCTGGCATTATTAATACTGTAGTGTCACATTCTATATCATACCTGATTAGGTTTTCAAGATTAACAATTATTGGAATTCTTACTTTCCATGTCATCCAGCTATGGTTTTAAAAGCTAAACTCCAAAGAGGTCAACTTTGGGTGACAAAAGTTTAATATATACATATACAATTGACCATTTGACATATTCATTATTTAGATCTGGCAAATATATGGCAACTTGTCCAAGGCTTAATAGATTTCTAGTCCTGCGGGCAATGCCAAATGGTAATCCCATCATCGAGCGAACTTGGATTAATCTCAGAAATCTGTGTCAGCAGTTGCGTTCAGAAATCCAGAAAATAAATCATACAACATAACCAAAATGTTGATACTAGCAAATAAGAAAAAATAACAATTAATGGAACAATCACTTTCAAAATAACGCATTAACTGGCATAAGTAGCCGTTTACTCAAGATAATGTCTTTTCCATAATATTATTTGTAGAGGATTATTATTTGCGGTAAGTGGGTACACTTCCTTGTGTTCTATTACCCAAGGTTTATAGACCATTAAAGACCAAACAAAAATCATTTAAGAATTTGTTAACTCCTTAGTGAAATATTGAAAATAAATGTTGCGAATCCTTTAGGTCAATTCAGTTGCCATTCACTGCCTAATACTATGTATAGAGTGGGGCCCTGTGATTGTAAAGAGGTTTAAAACATATTGAAAATACTTGTAACAATTTTCAACAGCCTCATAATGGCAATTAGTTGATGTTGGGTTGGTGTCCCCCAACCATACAGTGAGTAATGGTTACATTGACGTTTATAGTTCATAACCAAGTGTAGTTTCAAATTTTTGTTTGTAAATTTTGAAAATTGTTAATTGTAAATGTATGTTCAAAGAATTTACAAAATAATGTCCCAGCAAAATGCTAGAGCAAAATGTAAAAGGTGTACCATTTCTATAATTTTATTTTAGTGTGTTATAACTAAGCCGATATAATTGATAACTAGCTGTGTGACAGGAGGCTGGTCACTCATAAACCCTCTGGTTCAATGACCACACCTTTTATTGTTAATCTATCTTTATCTATACTAAAACCTTGGACATAAAAAGATGCATGACATGCTTATTGAATATTTAAGGGAAAATATTAAAAATAAAGATTTCAGACACATTTTGTGAGAATTTATGGATGTACATGTACCTATATTTTTTTTACAAAACATGATCTAGGAGTGAAGCCACACTATTGATTTTTGGATCAAGTCATTAAACAAAACATTTACTCACCAAAAAGTGTTCATTATCTAATTATAGTGAACAGAAAATTAGCAATGTGATTGGTTGAGAGAATTTAGCAATGGTTACTTTATAATAAAATATAATATAATATACCGTATTCTGCCTAAAAAACACACAGTGCGTTTCTCGAATTCTCCTGAAGGAGATGTTTCAAATGACAAAATCCCCCGGGATTTTTTAAAAATTAATATATGGGCTATAATAGGGCACTTCATGATTTTCCTCTTTAAAACTGGACTAACCCAAACTAGATAGAATTGTAACATAACTCAATGTTTTCCTTTGCCGAATTTGTTTTCGTGGATTTAATCGACATATGTGTCACAATTCTGGACTGCCACTTTGGGAACTAACAGCGATATTTGAGTCAAAATCTAAAGGTTTTCTGTTACTGACTGGCCTTCATAGTCAGAGAAAATATGTTTTATATTCATATTACTACGTCACGTTTAAAAATGAATGAATGTTTGTGTGTGTGGGAAAATGTGGAAATATATTTCTGGATCAGAAGCTCCCATGTTGCTCTGCAAGTGTCGAATGGCTTCAGTCAGATTTAGCGTTCATTATGGCTTTTAGCTCATCACACGAGGGTTATCATGAACATGCCTATAGCTCTAAAGATTCCCGAGACACGTCTGTAACAGCACTGTGCACAGAAATGACTCAATCCATAGCGGAAAGTGAATTAATTGAATTCACCCTATATTCGCCCAATGATATTTTTCTAATTTTTTAATTTTTTCGTGATTTTTTTTACTCAAGTTGAGTCTTTCAAGAAAAAGTCATGAGTGTATGTTTATTGGAGTATGTGCACCTATTAGAGATAATAAAAATTAAATATAATATGACATAGATGTTGATGATGCCCAAAACAAAATAGATTTGAACTCATCAGCTTGTCATAAAATATATATCCTTCCTAGCATTTTATATTTTTTTAAATAAATAGTAGTCCATAATATCATCTTGTATATATATCCATAAAATCTAGATTTCTATCTTGATCTGAGACTTATAAGAAGATAAACTCTACAATTTCCAGACTGAATATTGGATATAATAATCAAAATTAATGCTGAATGTGAATTAACTGCCAGATTTAAAATTATCATAATGAGAGTCTATCTCAGATTTATAAATATGTTTTCACAAAACAATTTTTAAGAACACTTACCATTCAAAGAATCGAATCAATATCCGCAATTTAGAATCCAACTGGCCAAGAATGGAGATTTTGATTTCAAATTCATGATCCGTCTTCAGATTGATCTTGACGTTTAAACGAGGCAGTCATATGCCATTTAGGTGATCTCTTGTCTAAATATTGCATTTAAGCTGCCCCGAACTGAGGATTCTGACCACTACTTAACGCTAATCCTTATTTACATTCTGCTTTATATCAGCTACTGATGAAAGCCGTCCAAAGAGAGTAAAGACCGGTTCAATTCAGCTAAATTAAAATATCTGAAAGGACAAGTTTCATTGAATGACTTTGGTAATGCCTCAGGACTTAAATTATCGTACATAATGTCAGACTATGTTTTCCTTGCAATCAAAATACTACATTGTCAAAACTAAACTTGAATGACACAGTTTTATTCTTGGGAGTGTGTTTGTATTGCTTAGATTGGTGTTCAGCAAGGGGATCTATTGTCACAAGTGTTTTCTAAGTCCCAAGTGTCTAAGTATGATGTTTTCATCAGACCAATTGACTTACAAAAGTTACAGGGCATTCTAGAAAGATATTAACTTTCAATGCCAACAATAACAATTTTACAATTATATCTCTGATTAAAATTTCATACTTTTTCTAGAATACAGATATATTCAATACTTCTTAAATTAATTTAATAAATAAACTTATATCTCTTATTGTTGTCTTAATCGATAGGGGGTCAAATATAAAAATAATCTGATTTAGCAGTTAGATGTCAAAATTAGCCTCTGGGATAAGATGCATTTAAACTTATAAAGTACCAAGGTACCTATAGTTTATATAGAATAAAAGATTTACACAAATTTAAAATTTAACCTATTTTAACTGACAAATCAAATAACTTGTGGCCAAAAAAAATCCCACAGATTGTGCATTCTCCAGATAACACCAAACAAACTTAATTCTGTTTGGTAAACAAAAATTCAAATATTTTATGCAAAGTCAAAACTTAAATAAAGTATGACGCATTTAAGATCAACGGAACAACAAATTGATGCATAAGATATGACAAATCCCATCAAGCCCATGATCCCATTAACTTATCCCATATATCTGAAAATGCTTTCAACGAGGACACAATTAATGCTATAAGCTGACACAAAACTGTATGAAAGAGGTAGCAAAGAACACAAGTAAATATTAAAAGTCCAGCCAAAGTGTCCGTTCTGGAGAGTACAATAAATAAACGTGTTTGTGTTTCAACATTCAGGAAAGATCAAATTTCTGGGACATACAAAGGTTGCACTTAACATTTCTTAACAAAAGTTTCGTAGGTCAACACTAAACATGATTATATGACGCAGTTTTGTTCAAATTGAATTACAACCGTTTGATCTAAAAAACAAGAACCTAAATAAAAACATTGTTTGATATTATGTTACAAATGTTTTTAAGAGGTAACTTAGCATAAATAATTTGAAAAGAACAATCGTTGGAACAAAGATTTGAGTGAAAAACATCTTAAAAAACTAGGATGATAACAACAGAAAAATCTCTCACCAATATCCATTTGTGATTTTCATCTTGTACTTCTATTGGAGTACTCTTTCTTGAATGCCTTCTTGGGGATCTTGTACGAGACAACTGAAATGCATACATTAAATCTGAGTCATGTGCTAAATGTGAAATTAACTAAGACAATTGATATACAGTTGATGAACAAACTGGTGAATCACAAAAATTAGCCAAGATAATTACTATATGGATTAAAGATTTGGGATTTCATAGTTTTTGGAATCATGATATTACTCTGATCATCTGGTTCAACCTAACAGTTTTGAATGTGTATAAAGATATCCTCATTTGTTTTTAACAATATAAATATTGACATAAACGTAATATGCCAAAGGTAGAGAATCTCATTTCTATCTTTTTGTGTAACTTCATGTATAATTTGATATAAATTCAAAGATAAACATGTGGTACACCCTTTGTTTATCGAGCAGCATTCTCTTTAATACCCTTAAGCCCATTATCAAGTAGTAATTGCTATCCTCTGTGGAAAAATAAATAAAATATTTTGCCCATTTGTGTCTAAATGTGGAATAAAATAACAACCAATTATGAAGACGAAAAAGCAGTGACTAATTTTGATTGACCATATCTGATTGGGTAAAGCTAGATTAAAGAATTGTTCTTTTAGAATATATTGTATAATTAATGTGATTCAAGTTCTCCTATAAATTCTCTAATGATAACTCTTTCACATATCTTGAACAGTTAACTTCACCGATTTACAATAATTCACAAATGTAATAAATGTGGATAATATAGTCCATTATACTCACAGCGACATCTTTACAATACAATAAAATAATATTTAATGATTTCGCTTTACAATATGTTTGAGATAACAACTAAATCAAACAATTCTGAAGTATGTAGTGAGTTCTGTTTATATAAATATTAGTTAGATTTACATCATGTTATCAGTAGTTTAGCACCTTTTCAATGGCACTTTAATCGTGACTATTGTTATACTCAGTTTTAGAAGAAAATTTCGAAACAGGTTTCTGTCATATGAAGTGAATAATATATGATTTCCTCAAAAGGACATATGAGTATACTTTAAGTACACTAACTTGTACTCTTTATCCTTTTTAAAGTACATTTGATTCTAATTATTACAGATTCATAATATATGTACATGCAGTGACATTATGTAACATACCTTCCTTATACTACTTGTAGCATGTCTTCCAGATTCCCCAAAATGTTTTGTATTGTCATTATCTCTGCCCATATCACTGTATCCCCTTTCTGTATTCAGAGCTTGTCCTTTTGGGGCAATTATAGTTTCATAGTGTATCCGTCCAAATCTTTGATCAGTGTCTTGAGTGGCAACATTTCTCTGCCGTATTCTAGGCCTTATTGCACAATTTAACTCACGGTCAGAGCGCTGCATCTGTGGATGTATTGAACGCTGCAGAAATGGTTCACTGACTTTCTCTCTCATAATCTGCTTGATCAATCTCCAGTAAAATTACAGCTGAAATAGAGAATAAAAGAATGGTTTGAACTGTATCTAATCTTTTTTTGTTGTGGCCTCCATATTCCAGTTTTTGTGCAACCCCTTCACTTGATTGTGGCAGGTACCACATAATGGTATTAGTCATAAACAACTGGAACACCCCAATCCCAGGACTAGATATATCATAGAAAATTGCACCAGCATAAATATCAAAATCTGTGTTCTCCCGGACTGAAAAATGCGTGGCGCTTGCGCCACGCACATTGTGGCTGCGCCACGCTGATTTATTGCGCGCCACACATTTATTAACAGCGCCACGCATTAGACTTTGACAGAAAAATTTCCCAAAGTTAAAATAGAAATTGAAAAAAATCAAAGTTTTAATCACATCAAAATCTCAGCCCGTTTTGCTTGAAAACGATACAAAATGCTCTATGTAGATAAAGAAATGTCTGTACTTACCTTTCTTGCACTAAAGAATCTTCAATTTACCTTCTATTTTGATAAAAAACAGTTTGATTTGCACAGAAATGAATTCTTCTTCTTCTTAGTCCTTTTCAGTGTTCCTTATAAGGTGTTCCGGGATCACTTTGGCATTATTATGCTGCCTTTGATCACTTGTTGCTGTTTTTAAAACTCATGTACTAAAATTATCACTTGTACTTTTCACTTGTGCTTATTTTACTTCTGTTGGGAGAGAGAGCGCTAAAACTTGTTATCTAACGTAGTCTAAAATGCAAGTGTTTTTCCATTAAAATGAGATGTTAAAATAGAGTCACTATCTCACTCGAGTTAAAAATAAGTTATTAAAATCTCTTGGATTTCTGTATAAATGCCTGCAGGCATTTCATAATTTCTTTATTTAACTTATGGTCCAGGCTTGTGTTGAGTCCTGTGATTGTTTGTAGGTCTAGAGCTGGATTGTATTTAGCTCCTAGTAGTATCTGTTGCACTTTGGCCAAAAGAATCTCCCTCTCTTCCTGGAACTTAGAGCAAGCAAAGATGTAATGTTCAACTGTCTCTGGTATGTTACAGTGGTCACAGTTGGGAGATAAAATATCGGGGTTAATTCTATGGTGATGGCCATGTAAACGGGTGTGCAAATGAAACATGTTTTTTCTGGGTCAGGACTCACAGCCTCCGATTTTGAAGAGTACACTGAACGAAAATGAACAAGTGTGCACATTTTCCCGGGAATTTCGGACTCAATAATTATAGTTGAATTATATATTGAATATAGTTGAAATATGTGGCCACATACTGAAAATTATTTTGTATATTGAACTTTATATTATATTATGGAAATAAATATTAAATTGAACATAGAATTAAAACAAACCTCTGAGCATTTATATTGCAACATGGCCTATTGTCATTAAAGTAGATGATCATACAGTGCTAAATTTCATTTGTTTTGATGTTATGTAATTACATAACATCAAAACAAATGTTTAGCATATTTATAACAATTGGCTGTTGATGCAAATGATTGTGATTAAATAACACCGCGAAGCGGCGCCGATTTTTTTAAGCATGTTTTTGTAAACTTATCACCGCCCTAATAATTTTGCCACCACCCATCAATTTTTATTCAAACTTTTTCACCACTCACTTTTGAAAAATTAGGGAGAACACTGAAAATCATTAAAAGTTTGGATCATCAGAGTTAAGACCTGCTTAATGAGGAAACACACTTGGTTTCGTGTGCTTTTTTGATATTCTAAACTCATAGTGTATCTGCTTTATTCGCATAAACATTTATCTGCTCATGCATCTTTCTGCCTTTAGTTTTGTCATTTCTCTGTGATCCAGGTTATGAAAGAAAATGAACCTTTATCTCACATCTCTTGATACCCACTTCTAATATGCCTTAATTTATCGGTCTAGGTATAGCAAAATTGAAGTTTCAAAATTTGAAAAATTGCGTAGCAGGGAAGAAAAGATATTAAAATAAACTTTAACAAGGCATTAACATGCAAAATTTCACTACCTGCCATTTGTTACAGACACAACTGCTGTTACAGATGCCGAAAGCTGTTACAGATGTCAAACACTAAAAGCCAAATACCATCCTCAAAGATGTTGGAGACTATCTGAATAACAATATGTCATTGTCATAAAAAAATAAGAAAAATATTATTCATCTGACTACTCAATGATATGGCAGCATCATGAATTTGGATCTTACCAACCAACCCAATACATTTAAATGACTATACAAGACAGGGAGGTTGGATCCTAGGGGACCAACTCGATATCGAGTAATTATTGTGAGTAATTTGTTCAGTGCTGATTTCTACGACAAAGAATTCAAGAGTGGACTACAAGGAGAATGGCCAATATTCTAGAGAAATCGACGACAATCAATGAAAATGTTGTTATTGTCTGACCATGATAACCGGCTGTAAACCCATAATCAACAATCCAAAAGATTTGAACTAATAGGCCTACCTTACCTTCTTCTAAGACTCCTAATCGAATTCTTATCGAATTCTACGACCACTTTAGATTGTGATCATACGCGCGTATAATTGGTCAGTCAATGTTTTTACAAAGTTGGAGAAAATACTACGCATTGCACACCTCAATGACCTACCTCGATACATTCCTTAGTATTTTAGAATTCTTTTTATGGAGTTGAATCGCCCATTGTATGGGTTTATTGGCAGAACGAAGAGGTTTTCGTTTTTGATATCAATATTTGTGTGTAATATTTAACTTATTTCAACCGTCAAATTCCTCCATTCAGTTCCCGGCATGCACCAGTCATAAGGGAAATCCCTGGGGAATTCCCATTCCGACATTTTGAAAATTGCTGATATATTTCCGATGTAAAAACTAAAATCTCTTCGTTCTGCCGATAAACCCATACAATTGGCGATCTAACAATAACATAAAAAGAATTCTAAAATACTAAGGAATGTATCGAGGTAGGTCATTTAGGTGTACAATGCGTAGTATTTTCTCCAACTTTGTAAAAACATTGACTGACCAATTATATGCTCGTACGACCACAATCTAAAGGGGTCGTAGGATGCGATAACTAAGGCTGGTAATTGGCTAGAGACTCGAGCTATCTTCTATCTTGTGTGTTTTGAACTTTTTTGCTTGGAAAAAATACTCTGACAAAAAAATCTCTGGCTATACATGTTCCCTATGGCTGTGTCGCACCATCCGAGACCCTATCTGTAGCAAGATTTATGCCTGGGACAATCGTCACCATAGACCCTGGTAGTGTTATCGTGAAAGCCTGGTATAACCTTGACAATGTTATATTATATTGCATGGGCTCTCATTGACGGTTGTGAGGTATACGTCTTGCAATAGATAGCATGTGCACAATCCGCGCCTCAGACTGAGACTCATTCCATATTGTCACTCGTCTCCATAAGCGCAAAAATTTGCTTTAGTTCTATCTCTAACTGTATATCATAATACCTACCTCTAAATCTTCACCTAGGCTTTATAAACATGACCTACGAGAAAAGCACGCTACGCTTCACTTTTAATGCAATATGATCCAGAAATAACACTGAAATTCAATATGTTATTTTAATATTTTCATGATGATGTTAGATTTTAAAAAATCCCCGCTTTAGACTGGACTAACCGATCAACATAAACAATTATTATAACCGATCAACTGATATAGTACAGACTTGTTGTTGACTGTTGTTTTGCATTTAATGCTGCTTTTTCCTCAGCAGTTGGCCACTGTATACTTTGTTTATCTCTCGGTGCTCTCACTCTTTCACTTGTTGCGCAGAGTGGGTTAATATTCCCCATTGAAATCTATATCTCATAGGTTCTGGGCCGATATAAAGATGGCAGCACCAACAGAATCCAGTATTATCTTTTTGAGAATAAATAAACACAGATCGATTACCATGCCATCTTTAAAAATTATTTCTATCGGCCTTAGCCTGTTAGATGCGATATCATTATCTATATCCACTGGCGGATCTGGGGGGGGGGGGGGGCAGGGGCCCGGGCCTTCCCTTCGGTGGGCCCAGAAAAAAAATTGGACCCAAAAAATGTTGAGCCAAAAAAGGCCCTAGGGCCCCAAAAAGTGGGCCTTTTTGGTCATAAATGGGCCTTCTATGGCCTGATTTTTTTAATTTAAGGCCAAATTTTGAAGAAAATTGGCTTATATAATTCAAAATGTGGGTCCACTTTTTGGTTTTAGGGGCCCAAAATGTTTTCTCAGACCAGAAATTTGCCCCCCTCCCCTTTGTTGGTTCCCAGAACCGCCCCTGACATCAGTGTCAAGATTTAGGGACAAAAATTTATGTCATTTTTAAGTAAAGCTTTTTTTCTTTACAATGACGAGTTGAGAAATTTAAAAACATCCCACTTACTGAACTTTTAAACTTTTAAGGCATGTATTTTCAAAAAGCTTTACATTGGCGATATTCCATTACATTCTTGGACTTTGATTATTTTACGATTGGAAGTTGTGAACTTTTAATGCAGGCATTTTCAAAAAGCTTTACATTGGCCATATTCCTTTACATTCTTGGACTTAGAATATTTTATGATATATAGAAGTGTAATTTATGGCATGCATTTTCAAAAAGCTTTACATTGGCCATTTTCCCTTACATTCTTAGACTTAGAATATTTTACGATCTGAAGAGGTGAACTTTTACAGCATGCATTTTCAAAAAGCTTTACATTGGCCATATTCCTTTACATTCTTGGACTTAGAATATTTCACGAAGCAAAGTTGTGAACTTTTTATGCAGGCATTTTCAAAAAGCTTTACATTGGCCATATTCCTTTACATTCTTGGACTTAGAATATTTTATGATATATAGAAGTGTAATTTATGGCATGCATTTTCAAAAAGCTTTACATTGGCCATTTTCCCTTACATTCTTAGACTTACAATACTTTACGATCTGAAGAGGTGAACTTTTACAGCATGCATTTTCAAAAAGCTTTACATTGGCCATATACCTTTACCTTCTTGGTCTTAGAATACTTCACGAAGCAAAGTTGTAAACTTTTTATGCAGGCATTTTCAAAAAGCTTTACAATGGCCATTTTCCTTTACATTCTTGGACTTAAGATTATTTTACGATCTATAGAAGTGAAATTTTATGGCATGCATTTTCAAAAAGCTTTACATTGGTCATTTTCCTTTACATTCTTGGACTTAAATTATTTTATCATATATAGAAGTGAATTTTATGGCATGCATTTTCAAAAAGCTTTACATTGGCCATATTCCTTTACATTCTTAGACTTAGAATATTTTACGATCTAACGAGGTGTAATTTTACAGAATGCATTTTCAAAAAGCTTTACATTGGCTATATTCCTTTACATTCTTGGACTTAGATTATTTTACGATCTAACGAGGTGAAATTTTATGGCATGCATTTTCAAAAAGCTTTACATTGGCCATTTTCCTTTACATTCTTGGACTTAGAATATTTTACGATATATACTTGATAACTTTTAAGGCATGTATTTTCAAAAAGCTTTACATTGGCAATATTCCTTTACATTCTTGGACTTAGAATATTTCACGAAGCAAAGTTGTGAACTTTTTATGCAGGCATTTTCAAAAAGCTTTACATTGGCGAAATTCCATTACATTCTTGGACTTAGAATATTTTGTGATTGAAAGTTGTGAATTTTTATAGCATGCATTTTCAAAAAGCTTTACATTGGCCATATTCCTTTACATTCTTGGACTTAGATTATTTTACGATCTATAGAAATGAAATTTTACAGCATGCATTTTCAAAAAGCTTTACATTGGCCATTTTCCTTTACATTCTTGGACTTAGATTATTTTACGATCTATAGAAGTAAAATTTTATGGCATGCATTTTCAAAAAGCTTTACATTGGCCATTTTCCTTTGGCCGCGCCTGGAGAGCCTTAAAATTTAAGGCTCTCTAGCCAAAATGCTAAAGAGCCTTAAATTTTAAGGTTCTTTAGCAGTTCGGCTAAAGAGCCTTAAATTTTAAGGCTCTTTAGCATTTTGGTAGCCAATTCTGCTAGAGAGCCTTAAAGGAATTCCAGGCGACAGAAATGACGAAATATTGCTTCTGGGACAAGATCAAACGACTTTGACATATTCTATACCCAACCTTTTTTGTCATTCAACAAATCAGCACAAATATACATACAATACCAGCAGATATCGGACAAATTCAAAAAGAAATATTTTTTGATCGATAAAATCACTGATTATTAAACCGGATGTGTCTTCTCTGAGGTCCGCAAAGAAGATGAAGAAGAAAACATATAAAGATTTCAGTCAATTCAATTTTGCCGTCGATTTAATTTTAAATGGTTTTGAATAATCTTTGAATGCTTACTGTGACTTCTATTAGTACTGTTTTGACTTCCCCATTTCATAAACAGAACATTATCACTTTTTACTCGACTCATAAATTTACTTCCGGTCTACCGGGAAAAATAAACGTTCTAAAACCTTTTCAATCCTCAGTCTAAATTTGGCTTTTTGAAGGTTCAAACGTTGACTTTGAATGGACCTTTATGCATATATCGAAAATAGGTTCACCAGAGAAGGTGTAAGACCCCGGTGTAAGACCAGGCAATCACGTAAAAACTTTGATGACTTTGATGCTAGCCTAAAATCGTTGATACATAACAGATTTTTGATCAGAAGTTTTTGCAAAAAGTTTTGAAAAAATATCTTGTCAGATGAAAAATCCTAAAAACAGAATTGAAATCAGCATTATCACTTTTTGCTCGATTCATAAATCTACTTCCGGTCTACCGAGAGAAATAAAAGAACCTTTTCAATCCTCAGTCTAAATTTGGCTTTTTAAAGGTTCAAACATCGATTTTGAACGGACCGTTCATGCATATATCGAAAATATATGTCTCTGATTCACCAGAGAAGGTGTAAGACCAGGCAATCACGTATATAGCCAGAAAAATGTTATTTTTACCATTTTATCCACTATAAATCGCAACGTCCGTTTAGTAAAGATTTTGATGTATAGACATTTATTGATGGATTGGAGGCTATAGTGGTGTCAATTAACTGCTTGAGCATTAACCGGTTAACCGGGTGTTTTTACCGGTTAAAGTCGGTTAACCGGCGGGAAATTTGAACTGATAATTCCAAATGAAATCTTCATCTTCGATCTTGAAAGTTGAAAAAATGGAAAAAGGATATATCGGCGTTTATTTTTTACGTTCGTCAAGCGTTACTCTATTCATACACTACTTGACAACCGGTATCTCTAAATTACTTACCACATTGGTTTACCCTTGGAATCTCCACGAACGCACCGAAACAACGAGAATTGCAGCTGATTAGTGTTTATTTTAATTTTAATTTTCTCACTACCAAAGCAAGGCTTTGACCTTTGACATTTTGGCGACGTTGATAGACAACAATAACAAACTGACGAATTAAAAAATGCATATAATTTATTTATGAAATTGTTTTGCAATTATGTAAAATTAAAGGAATTATCTGGCCTATGAGTTGATTACACATGGCTGACACTTGAAAAACAAACAGATTAACATGCAAAGTAAGGGGTTAAAGTTGCTGATTGGATGTTTGTAAGGAGTTATCGGACCTATCACATGTATGAGTAGCTCACATGAAACTGACGCTTGAAAAACAAACAGATTAACATGCAAAGTAAGCGCGGGAAACCAATGTGGCAGGGATTAAAGTTGCTGATTGGATGTTTGTAAGGAGTTACCGGACTTATGACATGTATGAGTAGCTTACGTGAAACTGACACTTTAAAACCAAACAGATTAGCATGCAATATAAGCGCGGGAAATAACAGAATTATACATGGTCAACTAACCACCCATAAAAACACACAGACCGGTCAAGGCATTATCGGCGGTTAACCGGTTAACCGGTTAATACTTGACACCTCTAGGAGGCTAGGATAAAAATGTTGTTGTTGTGTTGCATAAGCCGCTGTTTCCTCCCGGTGTTTCCTCGACAGTTCACCTCTTGTACTGTAAATTTTCTTTGTGCCCTCTCATCGATGTGCTTAAATTTTCACTTGTGAGGAAAATATTATGCAAAAATATCTCGTCACGTGAAAAATTCTAAAATCAGCATTGAAATCTAATGGGCAATAGATTTGGAAGTGAATTCTGTGATGTCCCTGGGCTGATGTCCCTGCATTCACGATAAAATGCGTCAAGATGTGCTGATCTAGAAGAAACAAGATCCTTTTTCATCCCCAGGTCTTCATCATACTTTTTGCCATCATAAAATGGGATTCCCTGTATTCTTGTGACTATAGCAAAGCCAATACAAGTGATTAATTTCATTAAACATTGATGATTGAGCGATGGAGCAAGCCCAAGAATTCTAGAAAAATTGTGTACATAATTTCCGGACCTCAGAGAACAAACTTCCGGCTTGTTATTCAAAATAAAAAGTGCTACGTCTGGGAATCGAACCCACGCCGCAGAAGTGGATAGCGGGCACTCTAACCACTATACCAGTGTGTTTTTCCATGATTGGAATATTTTTTTGCAACTCTATAGTGATATACATGTGTGAAATTTTTAAGTGGCATTCTGGGTTGAAAAACTTTCGAGAGTGTTGTTTTAT